AACAACAATTGAAAGCAATTGCAAAACAGTTGCAATTGAAGCCATAAAATTTTATATTTAATTTTAATATTGAAAACATATTAATCAATATTTACAATTAATTTACCATTTTGAAAACATTAGTCACTGACAGCAATATATAAACAAAAAAGCTAGCATTCTATTTCTAGAATTTTAATATAGTTGATTTATAGAGGATCTTCATCTGCATAGTCAAATTAACACAGCTTATTAAAAAAATTTATTCTATACTCTTTCTTATTTTTTCACAAGATTGTTATCTCCTTGTCAGTTGCAGCACGATTTACTAGATACCCCGTATATACGCTTCGCGCGTACAAATGCAATCTTATCCCCAGCAAGAAAAATCTCACCTTTGCCAGTTTAAATTGCTCAACCACACGGTGCGAGCAAGATGCATAGCTCCGGTAATTCAGAGTACTTCTTAACGTACAAACCGAGACTTTCTGATATCAACAAATCCCCTTACACAAGTAGCGAACATATTCTTCCGCACAATAATAACTATAGCACAAAACTCTATAACTTATTGTTGGAAGTTCCAAAACGCGAATCTATAATCTCTATTTTCAATATATTTCTATATAAAATATAAGTATTTATTGCAAGTAAGATATTTACAAATAAAGAGATTCAATGATAAACTTGAATACAAAAGAAAATAGTTGTACGTAAGCTTTCTTATAATTGTTCATTTTGATTACCGTCCTAGAATACATAGAATATATCATTTACTTATGTCGTCACGTATAGTATTTCTCTTCTTAGTAAAGCCATAGCTCCATCAATATAATTTCGCCGTATGGGCATCTCTTACAAACATTGAACTGAACGAGAAATCGTTGCTAAAGTGAATTCATGTGTAAAGCTCGACTGGCAATGAAAGAGGCACTCAAAGTGTTCGAGGCTCCTTAATGCATCGTGACACTAACAAAAAATGCAGAAAGCGGATACATTAGTCACATGCAGGTGATCGATTTCATATATATCATATTAATAAAAAAATTTAATAAAAAATTTATATTAATAAAAAAGGGCATTTTAATTGTAGAATATTTATAGAGAATTGTCAAGAAAAATGTAATTGTAATATTTGAGTAAAAATAAATTTAAGAATCCCTTCTCCAAAAATCCTCTGCAGTGCAGACAGTGCTTTTATATCTCTTTAAATCCGTCAATGTATAATATACAAACTTGCAATAGGCTTGTGTTATACATTGTCGTGTAGTTTATGTCCTCAAACGTGCATAAACGCGCGTTTTCTTCGCATAATATTCACAAGAATATAAAGATATTTTTGAATAAAGGCGATATTGTGTGTGTATGTGTGTGTGTTTGTGTGTACGCCGACATATCAACGGTATCAGAGGCAAAGCGATAATTTTAACGAGTGCAGCTAGAAATGCGGGTATGCAATGTTGGGCAAATGGGGATGAAGTACGGACGAAAGAGGCACAAGAAGAAATGCGTTATTACGTGCTTACAGTATCTAGTTCCCGGTAAATATGAATGGCTTTAATATTCCGTAAGCACGAAGGCGCCACTTTTAAAGTTCATGCATATCCCGGACGTGACCAGAAAATATTACGGAAGCCACGCAAAATCCCACCTCGTCTGCGAAGAGAAGGCCCGGGGCTTGTGTCTCGAGCGGTGCGAGACGAAGTTGCACGTGGCTAAAATGAACTCGCCGTTGCTGCCCTGTATTTCCTGCCACGTATTCCACGGAAACGTCATCCTTGCGCTCGCGAGACTCACCCACTGGTCAGAATCATTTCGATGAAGATGATAAAGTAATTACCATGATTACGCGTAATCTGCTCTTGTGTGTCAATAATAATGTGTAAATCTCACACAAGTCTAACGGAGATATATGAGTGAATTTTGAAAGAATCTCATGCTTTTGTCCATCATAAGATTAATGTCGAAGAGATGACGTCATCGTTGCGAAGCAGAATCGTAGTATAACGATGAATCTAATGAGACAAGTCAGATGTTGGCGGGACAGTATTTAAATGCAAACGAGGTTGTGGGCGATCGGACATTCCGCCGGTCTCGTGCCCGACTGTGTACGCGGCATTTGATTAACATTTTCATCGCGACAGCCCGAAAACTTTGCAGAAAATCCGAGATTACAAATTTTCATTAAAAACTTTTGCGAACGTTCCTTGCGTAAGTCTAAACTATCGTCTATGTGGGACGCCGCAAGACATTTACATCATTTCCTCGGATTTACGTTAGAACGCGAAGTTACCATTTGGCTTTCGCAATTAATATAGATAATATAAATTGATATCATAAACTATGTTCTGTTTCAAAATATTTGCAATATATGTATCTATATATGTAGATGCTGTAGTTATATAGAAAAACCATATGTATAGTTTTATTTAAAAAAATTAAAAAACTATTGATCATTAAGTGATCAATAATTGAGTTAAGCACCAATTTTTAAAAAAACTCAAGAGAGAATGAGATCTCTTAAGCGTAAATTAACTTAAAAGTGGAAGAAACAAGTAATAAATTCGAAACAAATATTTCTTTCTAGTACATCCATTCTCCATCATCAATGCAAAATCGATAAAATCAAGCAGAAAGGAACGATTTCGCGCTTCGAATAAGAACAACGAGGGCTACAATTCTTGAAAATTTTATACAAGAAATGCGCATAACTTATTTATACTCAAATATACAACAAATCTACCTCGTTATTATGCGTCTCACGTAATATAGTCCGAAACAGCTTCAGTGTTCTCTACGATCGTGATTTATTGATCACAAACAGAATTCGGAAGGCCGGCGATATGGCGCGTGTCTTATCTCGATACCGAATGCTTGTTCCGGTGAAATTCGGTGCGGATTATTGTCTTACAGCAACAATAAACGGGTCGATTCGCGGCGCATTTACATGAGGCACTTGCAGATGCGGGAAACTGAAACGGGGTCGCGTCGAATAGATAATTACCGTGAATTCTGCGCGCCCCGGCGGGACTAACTAATCGCAACTCACGGCAACCGCTAACTTTCCACACGCCGCTAATGTATCATCGACCTATGCGAATTTCGAGAGCCCATGAGTATGTGCGTTGAATACATATATTATATATATATATATAACACAAGGAATGCTTTTAATCTATCCACCAGGAATATTTAATAACTCATTAGTAGTAGCGAGAGGAATCCTTTATGCATCTGTTCAACAATAATAAATCAAATTTAATTTCAGCATTTTCTTGATAATGTCTAGTATCATATGTATTGTTTTTAGTTAATTGCAACTAATTATACTATTATTGAAAGAATTTACTTACTTATAAACTATTTCTCGAATTAATCGTTGTAATTGAAATAGAAATTTTGGAAATAATATTTTATTTCACAAAATCTTTTTTCTTCGAAAATATAAGTAGAACAAATGTAATATGTGGTATTAATATAGCTGTCAAAAAGTATTTCATTATCTTCTGATCCTAGTGTTTTTTCTATCCTAATACTAATAATTGAAATATAAATTATATATATATATATATATATATATATATATGTGTGTGTGTGTGTGTGTGTGTGTGTGTGTGTGTGTGTGTGTAATTTTTATTATAAATAATATTCGTGTAGAAAAAAAATCTCCTAAAATAAACGATTCAATTATTTTCTGGATAAAATATGGTTATAACTCACAATTTATGAAAATATTTTAGATTTCTCTTTTTTATATAATATATATCATAAAGATTCAATCCAAGTATTTTCCGTATATTCAAAAATTACTTTCGCAACTTGAAACATGTAAATGATATAGGAAATAGTTTATGCATTCTCTGTCTCATTTGATAAAAAAAAATTAAATAAAGAAATATGCACGACGAACGTAATTATTCGCATGAATTATACGGCGGAGTTGGAATTTGGACATCGTATTGTGCTGCTTTCATTTACATCGATAGATTAACGTATCATTGGCAATCCCGTATCACAAAAGCGTCTAGTCGACGCCCGTAACAAATAGATACACCCTATTGCTAGAGAGGCGCGCACTTGACGATGCGTAGCTTTTCCCTGCGTTTACCGCCTGTAATTACATTATTGTGTCGCCACATCTGATTGTAACACGCGAGCAGTCATAGAGAGAATGCCAATTATCACGCTAATTACGATAAAACTAATCAAATGATCAATGAAGATGGACTAAAATTTGTATTACTTTATTGCGTTTAAAAAATATCCGCATTTTCTTCAAACAGAAAAAATTGTCATGCATTAATCATGAGTTTAAAAAAAACAATTTATTTGAATGGATTATTTAAACAGCTGCGTTTTCATGTGTTTATCTTGTGACGAATATTTTAGTAACTACATATTTGTTTGACACACATTTTTATACTCTCTTATTCATATATTAGTCTGTACATATAAAGTGTCTGGAATATAAGATAGATGTATATTTGCATATTCTAGAGAGAAAGATGTATAGAAATGCTCATTTATTTATTTTGAGAAACGTATTTCCAAAGATAATATTATCATTGCTTTATATATGTGGGAATTCTTCGTTAATATTTTTTTTGTGAAAAATCTATCATTTTTACAGACCGTATACATCGCATACTAACGCCAACCTTAGTTATATCTGCTCTTTGAAAAAGAAAATAAGATCTTTTCTGTTCCATAACGATTCGCATGTTCCTCTCTTTTTATATGTTAAATAAAATTATTTAAAAATGTTCATAAATAATAATGTTTAATATATAATAATAATAATGTTTAATAATAATAATAACGTTTTCAACAAATAATAATCTCTTTTATAAAAATTTAAATGCAATTAAAATATAAATTGGCTGCACTCTTTTATTATCATCCTAACTGTTTATATTTTTGATGCGTACTGAACTACACATATAGTCATATGCTTCGAGTATAGTCATATGCTTCGAGTATAGTCATATGCTTCGATGTAGTCACCGATTTATATAAGGCCTATCACGAAGATTTCTCATTCGTATCGTAGCCAGTTATCGTGTTGTCTGTCCACCGGAACGAACTGTTCAGCATGTGCTGTTACAAAAGGCAGGACGTATGCCCCTGGCATACAGCTGGCAAGTAATTTCAAGGGGGATTCAACGAAGCATTTGCATGCACTGTTACGCTGACGAATAAAACAAACTCACGACATTACGCAATCGGCTTCTTCGACTTATCTTGAGAGAAGATCGTCTGATTCAAATTGCATCTGATACCAGAAATTTTCCTCTGTAAGTCATCAAGTACGATATATAACATATATCAGGTATGATATCTAACATGTATAATATGTTTATCGCGTCAGTGCGCATATTTACGTATATAATATTAATAATTCAAATACTTCACCAATAGTGCTTAGAACAGAAAGGAAAAAATTGCAAATAGCTATAATTAACTTTTAATAAGATAAACTTATGTCTGTCAATTTGATAAATGGTAATAATTCTAATATATACATATAGAGATGGAGGATATTCTATTTTAAATAAATGCATTGATATTTCTAAGAATTACAACTTATGTCGAAAAAATGTTTCGTATAAAAGTTTTGATTTTCGAGAAATATCAATGTGTTATTTAAAATGGAATACTCTCTTTATACATGTATATTGTTGCATCCACACTTCTAGTATTTTAAACTCGTTTAATGGTCAAACTTGTTGTTTGTACTCTAGTCTTCAAAAGGTCGTCTCACGATCAAGAATTTGTTTATAAACAACGGCGAACATTTATTAAATTTAGAGTAATTATGAAACTATGCAAACATGTTATTTACAGATCAATTCTACTATTATTTACAAATGTTTTTTACATATGTTCTATTTATTAAAAGTTCTTGCATTCCACAAAGTGTGTATTATTTTATGAATGCTATCGTAATTGAAAATAACATACGGCAAGCAGTTGTGTCGCGTGCGTTCGAGTTTATTGATATCAATCGATGAAAAATAAACAATATAAACAATATGCATATATATATGTATATATATATATATATATATGTATACATACATATACATATATGTAAGCTATTTAATTTTAAAAATAATAATTAAAAAATTAAAAAAAAAAGAATTTGAGAACTAAAACTCTTCATTTTTCACATAAGCAAAATTGAATAATTTTCCAATTATCATTCCTTGAAAAGTATAAATACTAGAGCGATGTTTTTCGCAGACCAAATATGGCATAAACAAGGAGATTAATACGAAGACTGATCTGAATTTTGCAGAGTCATCGAATTTATTCGCAAAAAATCGCGCACGTTAATTGAATCCTTTGTGATGTTTCAATTCTATTAAAAGATGGTATAGAACTGCTGGGGTGTCCAAAATATTCTGCAAGCGTATTATAAGAAAACGGTCCTTTTGAGGGGACGAATAATCGAGAATAGCGCGAAAGCAATTTTAAGCTTGATTTATCGTCGATCTCTAAAGGAAATCGCGATTCGCTTGACGCCCGCAGGGTTCTGTGCATGAGAAGAACAGGGGTGTCCTTCTTTCCTTAATCCTAGAAGAGAAGAAGGTGTGACGATGAGACTGGAATTTTATTTTCGGTGAAGAGGAGATAACGATTCATCTCGAAGGCAGCTCGGCATATCGGTTTTCGATTTGCTGCCGGTAATTTTAAGGGAATGGATCGAACGGCTAAAATTTGCACTTGAATTGCTACGATATAGCGCATTGCGTTATCCGATTATGTTAGTAATCCGAGATGCGGCTACGTGGTTAACCGTAGTTATATAATTCTACAGGACTAAAATATATATATATATATATATATATATATATATATATATATATATAAGGATATTGCACTATTTCTTTTAGCAATATAATATTTATTCAAAAAAGAATCTGCATATTTTACGCATTTTTATTCGTTTTCGTTGCCTCTTGTATAATTATGTAATATATATATATATATATATATATATATATATATATATATATATTACATAATGAAAGATGCAGATTCTTTTTTGAATAAATATTATATTGCTGAAAAAAATTATGCAACATACATCTGAATCCTCACGTATTTGAAAATCAGTATTAAAAATGCAAAGGTATGATTCGATGTGATAATCTAAAAAATTTGTCATTTCTTTAAAACATAATGTACATGTCATTAATACTAGAGTATGTTCACAAGACACTATTTTAAGTACAAATATATTCGTCAGTCAGAAACAATGTTCTATTATCATTACTTATTATTATACTTTAACTTTACAAGTGAAGATTATTTTTCAGTTGAAAAAAGTCCCATTTTAGCTGCGCAGTATTCGGGCCAAAATTCAAAACCAAATATCTGCGGAAAGGACGACGTTTTATGGTTAAACAAAATACGCATTGATGCAATCTGAAGCGGCTATGCAAAACAGCTGTCGGCGGGCAATAGAACGCGTGTTATGATGCCCGTCCGATTTCGTCCACCGTAACGTTCTATTCGGTAATGCGGATTTGCGTTCGACATGTTTACGGAAGTGTCCGGTCGCGAATCGCGAATTTAATCGTGAGTGATGAACGATGAATTGTTTTAATAAAAAAGTATGCAAAATATGCAACTTTTTTTCAATAGACAAGTTTATTGATTCTATTTGATCGATCTCTATTTTCTAACATGAAAATAATGTTTTCAACAGTTATGAAAATTCTCGATGTAACTCTCAGATATATTTTCGAAATTTTTGGATAATATTATATAATGCCACTAATTAGCATCATTTAGCAATACTAAAAATCCCAAACGTATGCTTCTCTCAAAATATTAATAGTTAAAATATTAACTTGAAAAACATAAACTAAAAATTTGAAAAATATTAAATTTTACAAGAATAATCAATTTTACAACAATATCTTGAAAATGTGACTTATATAAAAAGTAATTTATATACATATATGTAACATATGTTCTCTAATGTAAAAACATGTTAAAACTAATTTAAATACAAATGCAATTTCTATGTTTTTGAGGAAACGAGAAAAAACAAAGAAAAGAAATTAATACTTTAAAAAGTAACATATTATTTAAAAATCTGAAAGCTTTTAAAGATTTCTATTAAATATTATAGAAAATAATAGTAATTATAAAAATAAATAAAAAAATTTGGCAAGAAATAAAAAAGTGGTTATTGAATTTTATATTAGGATCTTATACATAAAACATCTGATACGTCACAACTATGTTTGCATATGTTCCTAAAGGACTAGTAAAGATAACTTATAATTAGGTCATAAATATTTCTTTAAAATATAGACGTGATAAATAATATATAAACATAATAAATAGTTATTAGTGATTATTTAGTTTTTACTAGTATGCACGCATTGTTGTTTAAATATAAAATTCTCTATGTTTTACGAATCATAAAATTTAAATAAATAAAAAAATAAAGAAGTTTTCACCAAAATTATCTACTTAAATATCATTTGAAACAAGTTCATCCTATTCATTTTTATGAAAATCTTGTTTCGGTTGTCAAATATTATCAATTTATGACAGATATATTATGTTGTCGAATAGATTATTCAAAAAATTCAATCAATCTATAATAAAAGCGTTTACATGTCAACGCTGATTTTGGCATTATAAATCGATGAATGTGTGCAAGAGACTGGATGCAGTCGATAAATAAAGTGAAGTGAGCACAGAATGCAGGAGCTTTGGGGAGTTAAATAAAATGACAAAATGCATCCGCATTTGCGAAAAGCTCTTTCTCTTCCCCTCTCCCCTCTCTCTTTCTCTCCTTCTTTTTGCCTTTTTTTTCTACGTAACGCACGAACCGCATGTGCAACCGATGATATCCTGCATATTGCTCAGCTGCGGTTAACGGGGTTCAATCTACTGATTTCAATAATATCGTGTAATTTACATCTCCTGAGTACAGTCGAAAAACGAATCACGTGCAAAATGAACGGGGTTCTCGAGATACGAATTGGAATTTGTATGCAATGAGATTTCGCAATACGCTCTCAATTATTTCCGACGCGGTTGTCGTTATTATTTCCGCGAATGGTGTTTACAAGTTTATATTGCGCCGCGTCGTTTCTCTGAATTTTGTATATTTTCCACGAGCGATAGAATGATTCGCCGAATTATCCGGTTGACAATGCACAATGCGTCCTGTTAAATAATGCGTGAATCGAACGGATTTCGCCCAAAATTTCCAACGATAAGTGCGAGCAACAAATTTCGCGCGAATCAACGCGTTTTCACCGATGTGTATAGTTCATTAATATAATTCATACCTTTCACGTGTCATTATTAATTTTAATAATCTACCGATAAATATGAATTTGCATACCGGGCGAATCGCATCACGATTAACAGCAGTACTTATCCTCATTTTTATAGAGCATTACAAGGTAAAAAATTTTTCGCACTTACAAAGATAAAACTATTACAAAAACAATAAATCCATAATATTCATAGTGAAAGTACGAATTATAATACAAGTTAAATTGAAATGCAAGTTATATTATGATGATTATATTGTCATAATGTATCTCTTATCTCGTATATATATATATATATATACAAAATAAAAGATATATTATGTCGATATTATCATCATATTATTATCTCTATTCACGCAATCAAATTGGTAGAAGTAATGTTTGCAGCCTCGGTGTATACTCGATATCATGACAATATGAGCAGAGATTGTCCCCGATGCATCCGCCTATTTCTAATTGCGATGAACAGTTTATCATATACAGTACGGATTTCCGTGTCGAATGTGCCAAACCGCTCCGATATAGTTATATTAAAATATAGACCGGTGTGTGCGGGACGAGAATTATATCACCATCAATCGTGTATGGTATCACCGCTGTATAACAAAATTTATATAGAGCAGCACGACGTTTATACGCCATTTATCAGTCATTAGAATCCGATCGGACACCTGTCTATTAGCACTGTTTTTAATTAATTACATGCTTGTAAATAAATCGTGCGTGCTCTCTCTTTTCATGCGATTAATATCGCATATCATTTGACAATTTACTTTCCGGCATTTACGAATACTTTTTATAAACTTGAGAGTTATATTTCAACTGAGACTGATTTAACGTTGACTATCATTTTCCAAACGATCTATTTCATTATTGCACACATTTTGCAACGAGCTATGAAAACGCATCACTTCCATTCTTGCTTTACCGCATTGCGGAAAATTAGTTTCACGAGTTGTGTAATTTGCCAGATAAGAGTATTTCGGAACTTTCGATAAATAAAGAATTTTACACAGTGGATGCGTCCATTTGTAATTAAGAGACGTAATCATGGCGAGACTGACGCGTAACTTTCGCAAATCTACAAAGATTTAACAGATACGTGCAAAATTGCATTGGCGTATCCCGTGGGAAATCTGCAAGCATATACCGAAACGCACGCGCGAATCTGCATTTGTACGTGCAAGAGGTATCGGGGGCGCGCGCCTTAGTGTTTTCAATTTCCTGCGTTTTCGGAGCAACGACGACGATGCCGAACAGACGTAGCGGCACGTCCCGTTCATCGACGTGCGGCTACGTGACGAAAATGACGATACCGCCTCGTAAATTTCGCTGCGTGTCTCGCAAAAAGCCGAGATCTCGCGGCCGCGGCGAATAAGCGTCTCTCTGACAATAAGTGAGAAACATGGCTGTGACAATCCGCACGCGGCGACCGCGCGACACTCAACAAGAGAGGCACGCAAACACGTATTGCCACAAAATTGAATATATCACACTTCTCCTGATTCTGTATCTCATCCGTCGTTGTGACCCCCTGCCATCGCCAACGAGAATGGTGACGACAACAATTAACTTGTCATGATCGAGATTACCTCTTGCGAACCGAAAATTTAGTTAGAATATAAAACATTTAAAGATTAAATGTTTTTTAAAACATTAAATATCAAATTGATTGAAAACTTTATGTCATTTTTTTCTACGGCTGTTTCTTAATCATTGCGAAGTCAATAATGAAAGAAACTATTGTCATGCGCAGAATGACTTTCTTTTTCGTATCCATTTAAATTTTTCACATTTCTAACGACAGTCTAATTTCACGACAGGTACGTATAAGAAAGTCGGCAGAGTGGAAAAATTTTACGTGAGCGATCATAATCAATGGTGCGATATTTCGCGGAAAAAAATTACAAAAAAAAATTACAAAAAAGTTACAAAAAAACTTATGACGAAGCGAAAGCAGAGCGGAGAAGAGGATAACGTTCAATTATTGCTTACAAATTCATAATTACGTCAATAAAATTCGCGCAATAGTAGATATACTGTGTACATATTTGTGTCAATTCAACAAGATTAAAGTCCAAAGCTCAAAAGAATTTTGTTCATGTGATTATCTCTCTCAAGCTGCGCTTACTCATCTTTATTATATATTGTAATTTTATAACAATTCAAATTCAAATATATTCAAATATATTACATTTTCTAACAAAAAGTTGATAAAAATAAAATAAAGATCTGTTAGTGAAACTTGCACAAGATAATAATGCAGATACGAATTTAGATTATTTTTTATCGTGAAACATATTTTTTTTGTGTTTGAAAAAAGATATTGTAAATGGATTTAAGAATATACAATAAAGTATGTATTATTATAAAAATTGATTATTTTTTGAAAAAAAAATAAATAAATAACGATGTCCAATAAACAAATCATGATTTAAAGAACATTCTTAATTATAAGTATAAAGTTATCTAGTACAATTGCAAAATTTAAAAAATCTTAAACATTTAGAAATTAAAACTTTATTATAATTAAAAAAACAAATCAATTTCAGAAGACAAATAATTCAAAACAACAGCGATAAATAATTGCAATGAAAAGTCTTAATACTGTATGTTGTGAGATTTATAATTAAATATCACATGAGTAAATAGTTAATTTCCGTCTTCAATTAATATTTATACTAATTGCCATCTAATAGAATTGAAATTTTACGTCCAGAAATGTATGTAGAATAAATTTTTGAAGAGGAAGATAGTATGTCAATTATTAAATTAATATACAACAAGGATATTCAATTATGCCATATAAGTACGATACATTAATGTTGTATTAAGAGGAAATCATAAGGATCCATAATGTCTTTCCATACAATAATTAAGTAAATATTTAGTGCTAATATTTTACAAATTATATTTTTATTCCACTATATATAGAGTAGAATAAATAAATATATATATATATATATATATATATATATATATATGATTTTTTTATTTAATTGTATCAAATAATTATTTTATTTAGACGTTAGCCCAAAAAATAAAAAAATTATGTTACTTTAAACATATATATATATATATATATATATATATATATATATATATATAATTTAAGATATATTGTCCATAATCTAAATATAAATTAATGTCAAATACATATTTATGAATATGTTTTAAAAAAAATACGATATGCATAAATACAAAGTTATAATTAGCAAGATTAGATATAAAGACATAAAATATAAAATAAGTCCAAAAAAAACTTTCATCTCTAATACAATACAAATTTTTGAAAATATTCTTCAGAAATATGATATATGATATATTATTTGATATAATATTTTGCATAATTTCAATGTATTAATAAAATATTTGCATCAAATTAATATAAATATATTGTTAGCTACACGCAATTGGTAGTTATATTTTTACGCAAGTTGTCTTTTTTTCCCTTAATTATTCTTTTGAAAAATTCAGTATGATATAGTAAATAAAAAAATCACTTTTGATTTATTATAATTTTGAGTTTATACTATTACATAAACATATATATCAACTTATTATAAATGCTTTAAAGGGAACGTTGATTTGGAAATTACACATTTTTCACACTTTGTGCATTTTCAAACAATAATGCTATATAAATGCTTATTTGTCAGAATTCGTCCTTGTTTTTTAAAATAATAGAATGTGCATTACTTAAAATCTTATTACTGATAAATTTGCAGAAAGTTTATCACCATGTTCCCGATAGGCATGTGACACATTGTTACAAATAATATTGCGTTATTCAGTTGTCGAAGAACTACCGAGGAAAACAGTAAAATGCTCTTGCTCTAAGGATAGTGAAATTTGATCATATTTTCAAGTATGATACATAGTGAACAAACACTAAATATATAAATAAAAGCACATAATAAGAGAGCTTTGTAGGTGAATAAACGAATTTCAAAGCAAATAACTAATTCTTCAGTCCGGAAAGAATCTACAGATTTAAGTAAACATGCAAATTCATATAAAAACTTAGAATTTATTTGAATTTTGGTTTAATCGATTTTATTAGATGATATTCTCTCGAAAATATTCGTAATGTAAATTGTTAAAAAATAAATTATAATATATAATATAATATAATATAATATAATGTAAATTGTTTTAAAAAATAAATTATATGCTTCGGTCACCGAAAAATGCGGTAAAATAAAAGTGAAAATAAATTTGCAATGTTTTTATATAAGTAGATATTATGAAAAAGACACGTAATAAAACACTATCAATCATAAGTAAGATGGTAAATAAATAAATTAACATCTCTTAACTGATTCGACTGTAATCATCACGACACGTGCAGTCAGAATTATATCACATACGTATAAAGATAGTATCATATATGCAAATAGATGAGATTACCGATTGATAAGATAATTCGATTGATAAGATTATTGCAATTAATATATAAATGAGTGTTTTCTTTGATCAAAAATAAATATATTCTATTGTGCATTTTCATTTTCAGACAACAGGCATTACGTATCATTAGAAATGCTGCGCGCAATAACTCTGATCATCATATTTGTTGCAGTAAAAGGTAATGTTTAATACACGCGATCGCATTTGACGCTTTAGTTTTAAATGAAAATTTCTTTAATCATAACGACAGTAAAAGTTCTTTAATCATAACGACAGTAAGTTTTTTTACGAAAAACAGATCACGTAATTTTTTATTTCTTATTTGAACGTTATCAATATAATATAACAATTTTCGTTATTTATATAGCCTCTTATATTTAGTATATTTAGTAAAAAAAAAAAGATAAAATATTATATATAAAATATCTTCTGGAAAATTTTATGCTTAAATCGTCTTCCATGTTCTATATATTTAATCTTGAAACAATTGCATTCATTATGTTTTATTTTACGCAATAAAGATATAGCTTAAGTTTCATTTAAAGGTACTTTAAAATTATGAAAATTTAAAAAACTTCCTCAAGAATTTTTTTAACATTTTAAACAATGTATTTAAAAATTCTCGCATACAATCAATAAAAGATAAAAATGAAGACTATTAAAAAAATTATTATGAAACCAAATCTAATTTGATGACATTTATTTGATCCTCTTTTTTTCAGGACTTTCATTACTTCAATAAGAAGAATGGAAATGATAGTTTAAAAAATATTGACATTTATTTATATATATTAAATTTAATTAAATTTAATAATTTATACATATTAATTTATATATATTAAATTTGTCTTGTTGCAGGCGATGGATGCATGAGACTTTCATTCGGAGAAAATGGTAGTGTGTGTGTCTGTAATTCGACATATTGTGACACAATAGAGGTGCCGCAATTGCAACAGGACCAATTTCTCTGGTATACTTCCACCAAAGATGGCAAAATGATGGAATCTTCTATTAACAATTTTTCTAAAAATAAAGATAAAAATATGTCTAAAGTTCTCACATTAGACAGTAATAAAAAGCATCAACAAATATTTGGATTCGGTGGAGCAATGACTGATGCCGCCGCACTCAATATTAGAACTCTTAGTAATGAGACTCAACGCCAATTACTCGAGTATGTGACTGATTTTATTTAAGAACAGCGACAAATCTGTCTAAAGAGCAATAAAAATCGAGGAGCAGAATATTAATGATGTAATTAATTTTAATGAATTTTAAATATATATATATATATATGTGTGTCGTTTTTCATAGAAAACAAGCAATAACAATAGCATTATCAAAGCTATTATTTTGTGAATGACTTCAAACTAGATAAAATTCACTTGCATCTTAAATATCATTTTAATCTATTCTGCTCTCCGATTTTCTCTATTTGATTTCACAAAACTAAATTTTTTATAACTTTTTCCTCTCATAGCAAAGTTTTTATTCCTTTGTTCTAAAAATTTTTTTCAGAAAACTCATTTAAAAAAAAATCTATTTTAAAGATTTACTTTAATAGAAGTAAAGCGAAAATTTTAATAAACATTAATAAATATAATCTGGTGAAAGCAATAATTATAAAACAGTTTCCTAAGAAAAGCATGTTAATTCTAATCGGAATAATCTTATTATCTCTTTTTTTGCTTAATTAGTAGAAAAGTTGATAAATACGAATTGCAGATTATAAGTCTTTAGGATGAGATAAATATACATCTATATAGTATGATATACATCTATATAGTATATATTGAAATTGAACGAAATGCATTAATTGAATAATGTATTGAAATGGTATGAAACCTAACAACTATTCGGGGCAAAATGATTTAACAATGATGTTCGAATTCTACGAAATTGTCGCAAATTTATTTAATAAATCAGGATTAAACCGATTTCTCATGATTATCTCTCACATGTAGTTATTCATTTTCAGGTCGTATTTTGGTTCTACTGGTATTGGATATACATTTTCCCGCATACCCATCGCGGGTACCGATTTCTCAACAAGACCATATACATACGACGACGTACCCAATGATTTTACATTAAGTAATTTCAGTCTTGTGGGAGAAGACGATTATAAAATTGAGTATCTACATCGTATCAAAAATATTATGTCCGATCCAGAGACTCTAAGGATATTTACTACTTCGTGGTCTGCCCCGGCCTGGATGAAAAATACCAACAATATAAAATGGGGTAATTTTAGATAAAATACAAAATATTTCTCGAGAAAATCAGATCTTTTACAAAACTATTAATTAATAAATGGATATTTTTTTCAACAATAAAATATGATTAGGGAATTAATTTTTTTTACTTATAAATATCCTAATACAAGAGATAAATAAGACGTTACAATAATTATGGATATAAGATATATAATGCACAGTGATTCAACAGGTGCTTTGAATCCTGAATATTATCAACTTTACGCTGATTACATCAAAAAATTTTTTGACGCGTATAAAGAGCGTGGTATAAACATATGGGGCATGACTCCTGGTAATGAGCCAATAGATGGACTTGTGCCATTCTTCCCTTTCAATTCTATGATGTGGTTACCCAGAGAAGGGGCCGACTGGGTTGTAAATCATTTAGCTCCGACTTTGTCTAAAGCTGGATACAAAGATCTTATCTATATGGCAATGGACGATCAACGTATGTTATTACCATGGTATGTCGAAACAATGTTCACAAATCAGAAGGCTAAAGAGGTATTTTCCGGCACTGCAATTCATTGGTATGCAGATAAGCAATTTTCACCGGACAGACTGACTCGGACGCATAATAAATATCCGAACAAATTTATGTTAATAACTGAAGCATGCACCGGTAAGCATAATTTATTATTTGTTCTATAATAATGAGAAAATAATAAAAAATTGTAATAATCTTTTTCAAGAAACTTTAAAATATTTATGCAATTTTCACAGGTACCTTTCCTACCAATCCTTTTGAACCAAAAGTATCGTTGGGATCATGGTCGCGAGGAGAACTATATATGTTAGATATAATAGAGGTTTGTTTATATATCAAATTAATAAATTCATATTTTAAACCGAAATATATACTTGCCTCATTTTAGATTTAGTTTAAATTAATTAATAAAAAAACGTTTTTAATAAAAGCAATATATATAAAATTTAATATAAAATAAGAATCTATCTAAAATTTTTAATCTAACTTTAAGCACGTTGAAAATTTTTACAAGTACCAAAATTTAAATATAGTATTGTTTTTACAGATACTAAAATTTAAATATAGTATTAATTAATATATTTTGAATTTGATCTGGTATTATATGAAATTTTATCATATAATATATGTGTGTGTTAAGTTTATTATATAAGGAAAACAGAGTATTATGGATATTATTTTGTTTTAAATAAATTTAAATTTTTTAATTAATTTAAAATTCTAACAATATATTTCCAGAATTTATCACATTATGTGAGTGGATGGGTAGATTGGAATTTAGCGCTCAATAAGACTGGTGGACCAAATTGGGTTGAAAATTATGTGGATTCACCTATTATTGTGATACCGGAGGAAGATCAGTTCTATAAACAGCCTATGTTTTATGCGATTGCTCACTTTAGCAAATTTGTGCCACGCAACTCTTATGTAATTTTTTCCACATTAGAAGAACGTTTTAAGGAAGAAAATATTAAATCAATAGCCTTCTTGACCCCCGAACAAAAAATTGTAATCGTAATTGTTAACAAGTTAGTAAATATTTATATCACTAATCTCGACATGTAATAATATAATTTATTCTTAAAAGAATTTAGAAGATCATTCTCTAATTATTTTTTAATTAAATTGATGTATATTTTTATTTTCTTAATACATGTATAATCTATTAAGTTTTGTAAAATATATAATCCAAAACTTTTTTCTGTTACAGAGGTAAAAATCCTATTCCTTTAACAATCAAAGACACAGTCAGAGGGAAAACAATAAGTGTAACTCTACCTGGAAAATCTTTCCATACAATATCATATTCGGCATAAAGTAATAATGAAACTTATATGTATTCTGTAAATTATAAATGGTAAATATCTGTGCAATTTATGAAATTTCTCACTTAACTTTCTTAAAGAAAAGAATGAAACCTCTTGTACAACATTTTGTACAACTTTTATGTAAGGAATGAATATGGATTGTATGTTGTATGGAAGTAGATATGTTATAAAAGTTGACATAATTATAATTATTTTTTAATCATTGGTATATTTATGCATTCAATATATAATGTTATACGTACTTGTAATTATGGATAATACGTTTCTGTCCATCGTCCTATCTTTCTCTTATTGGGATTCCTTCGTAAACATCTCGGTATATAAGCTGGCAGATGATCATCTAATCTACGTTTGAACATTCTGATACCATATTCCCATGGTTCTCGTTTCTTATCCATTGGACGAGTTTTGTGTCGTATAAGATAGATCTTCTGCCAATTATATATTTCTGGTATTTGTCTGAAAAGAAATGTTACAAATTAATAAATAGAAATATTCCTATTATTATTATGTCATTAATTTATTTTTAAAATAGAGTTTATATACATACAATTATTAAAATAATATTTTGTTAATAATTTTGCAAAAAAATATGTTAATATTATTATATTAAATTATTAAAAATATTATTATATTAATTATAATATTATTTAGTGTTAATATTATTATAATATTATTTATTGTTACATACCTGCCTCTTGGCCTATTACATACAAGATGCTTATACTGTTTCTCAAGCCAATTTCTTCTATTATTACCTCTTATATCAGCTATTACTTTGATCACTTGCCCTAAATATGGTTTTAAATCTATACCTATCCTTTCTTCAGGCATATTTGTGTAAAATTTGATCAAAATCTTGAGGACTTCTTCATTTAAGCCATGAACTTTTTCATTTTCTATCTTATCAAATAATTTTATTGGCTCTGTAATCCAACATATATTACGTTTTGGATTTTCACTGATGTATTCAGAGTGTACTAATGTAGTATTAAGTTGATAAACACAGAATGACCACCATTGCCCATCTGTTATAACTGTTTGAGTGATTAAGGGATATGTAATGTCATTAAAAGTAGAAAAACCTGAAATTTTATACACATATATATATATATGAAATTAATACTTATTTAAATTATCTTTTAATTTAAATATAATAAAACATAACATATAGATATAGATTGATATAGATACCTTGATAACAAGCTTGCGACAATAACCAACTATAAGATGCTAATATTGCCTGTACAGTAAGTGCTTCAGATGTATCATTATATTTTTTTGGTCTTCCTTGCAAATTCGTGCAACTATGATAAGATAAGAATCCAAACTCATTTTTATCACCAGGCCAAAATCCAGGAATATTAGTCAAGTGTCTTCGACCAAGTTTATAAGTCAATACCGTTGGACATAACTTAAATGTTGGTACATCCAAATCTGGATTTTGACATTCGTTTAGAGAAATAATTTCTCTTAGAGGATGCTTATATCTCAAATGCAGGGCAGGCTGACCTAGATACTGAACAGGCAAATCTACCAAGTCGTCAACAAAATCTTTCAAATGTGCATATTTCTTTCTGCACTGCTTCATAAAAAGAGAAGGTTCTACACCACCAGCAAACCAAGATGCTTCCAATCTCGGTTTAATATCAATTTCAGCTTGTAATAAATATGGATACATAGAAGAGAGATGTATCAGCATTGTCCTATTAATTTTTTGAATGAGTGCTTGACATATATTATTATCTACTTCTACTTTCTTGTCTAAATTTGCAATATTTTCATCCAGCAACATATTAGTTTTAATTTCATGCTCTCTTCTGCAACATTACAATATATATTCATATAAGAAGGACAACTTTCAAATTTATACATTTTGAATATAAGTAAATAATTGTAAATAGTCGATAATACTAAATAATAATTAATATATATTTGTATACAATATTTGAATACTTGAATAATTCTTTACAGTTAAAAGTAAAAAAATACTTTTAATTAACAACAAAATATAATAGAAATATATATTAACCTTCTAATACAATATTCAAAAATTATATTATCTTCTATGTCATGCTTTATTGCTTGTACAATGCTATCTAACTGCTCAGTGGAAATTACATCATTATAGTATGCTGGAAGACCAGGCTCTTTGATGACATGTGTCCTCGTAATATACTGTGCATGTGACAAAGAATTGTATGGTATTGAATGTTCATTCAAGAGTAACGACTTCCAACCATAATATCGTGGCATATTAAATTCGAATAGTTTCTCTTCCACAGTTTGTATGCTCTTGATCTTTTCATACCAAGCTTGTTTTTTTCTCTTCGAATTAGCTTTATAACTCGACTCTTCGATAGGTAGATACATCGGCTCCGCTGTCTTTTCGACTTCATCCTTCACTTCGCTAATAACGGAGGTACTATATCTCACCTGTTTCCCATATTTCGTTATCGTATTAAATAGTAATTTCTGTCGAATTTGAATAAACATATTTTTTATATAGAAGTGACGATAAAACAACCTTTCGCGATTCGCGATTGTTCCAATTTTCTTGAAAAGTTGAATTTCCAATAGAACTTGAACAAGGGTGTGTTCGGAAATTATATTAAAATAATGCTTTATTATTAGCCTATCAAGAGAAAAATTCTTCTATCCTGATTGGTCAACCAAATGTTAGTGAAGAGCTGATTTTCGAACTCAATTCTTTATGATTTCGCCTTTATGTCAGTTACATTTCTCGTAGATGTATCGAGGAAAGTAGCGTATACATACATACAACGAGTACATTATTTAGGCCGTGTTCCGAAATTACTGCCAGTACTGCAAATTCTATAGTGCACGTTACGTATATTATATATTTTCAGTGCTGGCAGTAAACTGACAGCAATTTCGGAACACGGCCTTAGTATAATTTCTATATAATATAAAAGTGCTTGTAAAAAAAACAAAACATAAATAAAAACTCGTATATAAAACAAATGTTTGCAATAATGGAAAAAGTGCGAAGATATGAGAAAATTGACTTTTTAGGCGAAGGACAGGTTATAAAATGTTTTTTTGTCATTTTCGTAATTTTATATACATTGTTTAATGCACATGTATTTGTAATACTATATATATATTTAATATAAAGAATTATTTTCAATTGTTCAAATACTGTTATTAATTACTAATTAGTATTATTGATTAGTTACAATTATTTATTTATTATTTATTTGTAATTATTTGCACACAATTGCATAGACTTAGAAGTTATTTTTTTTCTTATATGAAACGTATATATTATAAATGCTTTTACTTGTATAACATATATAATTTAATATTATATATATATATATATATATATATATATATATATATAACATTATAAGTATATAAATATATTATTATATATTTCAGTTTGCCACAGTTTATAAAGCAAAAGATGTAGAAACAAATAACATAGTGGCTGTGAAAAAGGTTACTTTTTTATTATAGAAAATATATTTTGCATATAATTTATATTATATACTTGTATTAATTTTTTTATATTTTTAGATCAAAGTCGGAAGTCGTGCAGAAGCTAAAGATGGCATAAACAGAACTGCACTACGAGAAATCAAATTACTGCAAGAATTAAAGCATGATAATATCATTGGCTTATTAGGTTTGTTATATTATTATTATATTTTAATGTAAAAATTATATACAATTATATAATATATATACAGTTTGACATAAAAATAAATTTTTATAGTTACAATTTCATATATACAATTTCAATTTCAGATGTTTTTGGCCATAAATCAAATGTGTCTTTAGTATTTGATTTTATGGACACTGATTTAGAAGTGATAATAAAGGACAACAATATAGTTTTAACTGCAGCAAATATCAAAGCATACATGATTCAAACGCTGCAAGGCTTAGAATATCTTCATTTTAATTGGATACTTCATAGAGATTTAAAACCAAATAATTTACTGGTAAATTCAGAAGGTGTTCTCAAAATTGGAGATTTTGGTTTAGCAAAGTTTTTTGGATCACCTAATCGAATAAATACTCATCAAGTTGTTACAAGATGGTACAGAGCACCTGAATTACTTTACGGAGCTAGACTTTATGGAACTGGAATTGATATGTGGGCAGTTGGTTGTATATTAGCTGAACTTTTGTTGCGAGTACCATTTTTGCCTGGTGAATCTGATTTGGATCAGCTCACTAGAATATTTCAGGTATTAATATATTTTTATCAATCTTTAATATATTTCTAAAATTGTTACATTGTTAAAAAATTATATATATATATATATATATATATATATATATATATATATAAAACTTTTATGTAATCTTGATGTTGAATATTTTCTCTATTATTTAGACACTAGGTACTCCAACAGACGAAACATGGCCAGGAATGTCCGAATTACCAGATTTCATTCAATTCAAGCCTTTTCCTGGAACACCACTGAAACATATATTTACTGCTGCTGGTGACGATCTTTTGGATTTAATCGCTAGTTTCTTGAATGTGAATCCATTAGAAAGATGTACATGTGATCAAGCATTGCAGATGCCATATTTCAGTAACAAACCTGCACCTACACCTGGATCTAAATTACCTCTACCTACGACCATTAAACGTCAACGTGAAGAAAGACCTAGTTTAAAAAGAAAACTGCTCGAGTCAATAGAAGGTGCCTCTTTAGCTAAAAGATTGCAATTTTAATCATGATTGATATTAGTGGATCATTGACAAATATACAATAATCTATCAGATGATTAAAGAAAAAATTGTGATATCACATGTGCAAGTGTTATATCATATTGCAGCAGATAATATTATAAAAATACTATACACTAAGATTTTACTCAAATAATTTCTGTATCTGCGTATACACGTGAAATAATGTGCTTTAAGATGTATTTTTATTTATGTTTATAAATATTCAAATTCAAGACTTCTTATAAACTAGCACAAAGTTTGATGAAAACATATATAATAATGACTCTAATGTGTTTAGAGAAATCTCTTTTCTGAGCAAATCACAATATTTTCAATGATTAATAAAGTGATTAATAAGGATTGAACAAGGAATAGGAAGAGTTGCGTATAATAGGTAACAATAATATGATGCGTGCGTTAGGAAATACAACGTTTTATGTTATATTATCTTTATTAACTTAAAAATTAATAAAAAACGTTTGATATTCGAGTGATTTTATAAGCTATGAAACATCGTATTTGAAATGAATAATATGAAAGAAGCGATTAGTTAATCACAAACATAATATTCTCGAGTAAGTTATCTTTTAAGTTAGACTCAACTTCATATTAAGTACAAATGTTCTGATATCATATTTCAATTCACACCAATATGTGATCATGTTAATAATATATTTATTGGTTTTTCTAGAAAAAAAAAAAATAAAATAAATTATAAAAATTGTTTTATAAATTAATGAGTTTTGATTGAAAAAAATTTCATATTCATCTGTCAATGTACATTTTGTAAATAATGTTCATACTTGATTGTACTTGTTGAAAATATCTTCAACTATCATTCAGTATATGTCTCTGATATATATTATGTATATATATGTGCAACAAAAATACAATTTTATACAAGATTATTTTTAACTTAATATATTGCATATATATTAACACGAATGTTTCGTATTCATATTTAATAAAGGGAAGAAATTTGTTCCTCATTATCCCGTTTTTAATGGATAAAATGCACGTTATCCTAAATTTAATGATAAAAGGCAAACAAGAAATTGGAAGAAAAAGAAATATACATAAGCGTAATTTATAACATTTAAATACTGAAGTAATTATTTATGCTTACATATGCATTCTGTACATATATATTTCGTTTTCTAAATTATTATTATTAATTAATTCAGACAAAAGTTCTTTGTATCATAAACTGCATAATTATTTTTATGCGAGGTGCATTTGAAAATATTACGAGTATTACGGCCATCATTAATTTATATATATACATGCACACACATCAAATCTCTCAAGATTAATTTAATTCGTGACAAAGCACATTTTATTTACATATTTTTCTTTTATATTGCCAACTATATTACAGTTATTATAACTATATATCTTCATTTTAGACCAAATCACCTACATTTTGATAACAATGAATAAAGAAATAATATAATTATAGAAGTCTGACTTCAAAATGCACCATAAAATATGCTGAAAATTATAAATTCATATTAACAGATTATACTGTGGTCCCCTTCAAATTGAATTATAATATCTATATCTCTGTATAATCAATACACAACAACTGTTCTTAAGTGTATATATTAATATTTAGTATTGAAATTATCAAAAATAATAGAACAAATAAAGAAACATACAATCGACGGAAACAAAAAGTATAATGAAACCTTTTTAAATTAAAAGATTAAGTATTGGACATGTCTAGACATGATACAGAATAATCATTATGTTAAAATATTAAGAGATAGAAAGTGAATATAAATTCTCTGTTATTATTATTACATTTGTTTAAAAAAACTTATAAGTTAAATATAATCGCAGGAGGAATTCAACCAGTGCTTTAAAATATATCAGTAAATATAGTGGAATTGTTTCATGTTTGTGCTTTCAAAAACAATCAAGAATTATATTAGACTAAATGTTGCTATTACTCAATATAACGATTATGTTTGAATTTTGTTATCTGCATATATATTATATATCATATACATATAGTACATATTTTTGCGATCGTATTAAATTTTATTAGCGTACAAGGTACATCTTAAATTTTAATATTGATTTATGTAAGATGCCTTTGCATGGCTCTATTATGAAATTTTTATTACAACAATATTCCTTATGTTTATAACAATAAATAAGTTGAAATAAGAAAATAAAATATTAGTTTTTATGAATATCAATATGAATGTCAATAATATGAATCTCTAAAATAATATGAATCTCTAATATTAAAAATAAAAATATATTAACCAAAAAAATAGTAATAGTAATAGTCAGATAGTATCAAAAACTAAATTACTAAGAAAATAACAATTAAAAGTTCAAGTAAAAAATATTTAAATAAAAAAATTCTTGATTATTTTGCAATTCATATAATGTATGTGCATATTTATATTCTATTTAATTTTTCACATTGCATTGCATATTATTCCATAAAAAATGTGTGTTTAAGTGAAAATGAAAAAAGATATGTTTGAGAAAATGACGCACAAATGACCATGAGAAAGTTAAAGTTGAAGCAAATTTCTTTTATGTTCTGTATTCTAGATCTACTAATATTTGATACATAATAAGTAGAGCACATGCAGCAGCAGACACATTTTGCTTTTAAATTTGATTCAACATTTGACTTGTAACATATACATTGTAATATCTTCCTTATGTAATCAACGTTTTATGATTACATATTACTTATCTTACATTAAGTAAGCACATCAAGATTAATTATCAAGATTTCCAAATATCTATGTAATTTTCTCATCCATAAATCAAAATATTAATAGAAACTTTTTAACTTATTTAATTTTAAAGTAAAAAAGAGAGTAAATTATTTAATATATTTAAAATCTATACATAATGTAAAATATGTCTTTTCAAAATTTTGACATTTAATTTTGTAAATAAAAATGTTATTTGTAATTGACAAACTACATGTACATCACGCACGTTAACAATCTTGCATAAACTAATAATTAAAAGATCATTATGAGTAACATAAGAAATAATAAATATAAATGTGTAAATCAATTTTTCTAAAGAATACAAGCTACATTTTGCTTATACGTGATTGTATAAGTTTACTTTTCCCATATATGAAGAGCAAATATGTTATACCTCAATAATGAGAAATTATCATAATATATGTTTCATATTTGATTTAATGAAATTTATTATACAATTCTAGTGTCGTTTTTAATTTTCAGTCCGTTTATATGATTCTTGATAAGTATCTTATATTCACAGTATCTTCTGCAAAAATTATTCATACAAATATATTATTTGTAAATTTCATTTTAAAAATAAAATTTCTCCATTCTCAAAAAAATTTTCAAAGAAAAATTAAGAATAATTTGTTTTATATAATAATTAATATATATAATAGGATATATTATATAAAATTCATCAATTATTATTCAAATTGAAAATAGACATTGTAGTACCATTTCACAGATCTCTCGATAGTAATTTACTTTCTTTAAGAGTGCAACATTTAATATTAAAAATTTAATATTTTAAGCGAAAGAAAAACTTGAGAATTTTGTTTAAGAGAATTCATTTTTGTATTGCAAACTTTGAATGAGCATATCTTTTATGATACAAAAGAGATTATTGCAAAAATTTATGAATGCTTCTGCTTCTCTATGAAACTATTAATTTAAAGTAATCTACTTATTTATTTCACATTCTTTGTTATTCATATAGAAAAACAAAGAATATATATCATATAAACGCAAACTAACGAAATTTTACATTTTGAGTTTGAGACTCTGTGTAGTTTAACGATTAGGCACAATATTTCAAAACAAATGAAATATTAAAGTTCTCCATTTGAAAAAGATGGTTTGATTGTGGAACATTCTTTTCCCATATAAACTATTTCTCCCTAAGCTTTATTATAATATTAAAAGTAGAAATACATACTCCATTGTTTTACTACTGTTTCTTCTTTACTTTAATATTATATATATTCAGTAATCAGTCCAAGGCAAACTTTTTATCCGCGATAATGTAATACAATATAGCTACTATCTTCGTATTTTCTTTAAATCGATCTATATATATATATATATGTATATATATATATATATCTATATATTACTTTCTTTTAAAAAATGTATACTTAACATTTAATATATAATATATATATCTCTTTAAAATATTTACAATCTCAATACTATAATACAATATTTTAAATCGTTTTTGTTGTATTTATATCTTATAAAGGCAATTATTAATGTAACTACTATTCTTATCATAATAAATTGTGTAAACGTTTTCTGTTTTTACAATAATTATGTTCATATTAAATTAATATAATACAAGATATATTTTTTACAAGATTTTGACACCTCTCTATATGACATTTCTGTTATATATGTGAAGAGTGCATGATAATGCAAATTTCTTTTTAACCATGATTATATTAATTTTCATACTATAGTTTTCAAATTGATCGAAAATTATAAAAAGTACTAAATACTGAAAACATATTCTTCCAATCGTGTAGAACTTTTAATGAGAGAAATGTTTTGTATATATTGTGCAAAATAATTATTTCAATGTTATTTTAATAATAAATTAATTGTTCACCCATAATATGAATGCATAACTAAGTAATCATAATAAAAATTTATCCAATTATTATAGTTAAAAAGTCTTAATTTTATATTAAATAAAAAATTTTTCGACATTTTCTATTAATACTTCAATGTTGTTCTATATCAATACGAATGTTGTTTCTATATCACATGAAGAGAACCTAAATAGATACAATTATTATATTTGTTAAAAAAAAACCAAAGATTTTGTTCACAATGTGTTAAGATATTCAGAATTGTTTTCTAACATATACGAAATTTCATAATAATAATTATAAATACATTATAATGTAGCATAAGCTATTTTTCCCATACATATTATATAAAATTATTATTTACATATGTAATGAAAACAATTGCAGCATCAAAATGTTAAATCAAGTATACGTATTTCGTGCATTTACTTGGCAAAAGTGTGAAGATGTAATTAAAAAATTATTGAACACGTGAAGATATAATATTTAAGTCATAATTATAACAAGTCGATAAATGCTTAATGTATAGACATAAATAGCATATGCTACTACTATTGTAGTGTAATTCAATGTATCCCATTGGAATTGAATGTATTAACAATTACATGCATTTATTTTAATGTTATGTATCACTCATAGATATCTTTTATAAATCATAATAGTGATTCTAATTGTTTAAAAACTTTTTTTCAAACAAATATTTAAAGTAAATGTAATATAATCACAGACATCGATTCTTGACGAGATCTTTACAAATACTGCACACAATATATCATTTACACCTCTTAATTAATAAAAATAAAAAAAAAATAGAAATACAGTTTCAATGGGATACACCGGAATTAATAAATTCGATGCAATAAAAATTTTGACTTAAAACACATCCATAACTAAATAAATTAAGAAAAATTCACTAGATTCACCTGCACTTTAGCGTTTTCTTTGAGTTCTAACTAATATTCAAGTTATTACAAATTAATCGTGTCCAATGTGTGCGAATTTCTAGATGCACTATTGTCTTTTGGTGATGTTGTGGCAATATTAACTTGTTTTGTAACATTGTTCGTAAACGGCATAGAAAACTTAAAATCAGCACCATTTGGCAATTTGCGCATAATTTTCCCGGACGTGATAAGTCTGCCAAAGCCCTCTTGATGAGCAAAGGCATAGCCTGATCGTAGAGATCGTCGTGTACGTCTCGTAGATGGTGTACGCAGTATATCTTGACTTTGACGGGAACGCAATTGTGCCAGCCTCTGTTTCAGTCTGACCCTATCGGACAACGTCGGCCTAACGTCCATAAAGAAGAATCGCCATGAAAGTACCGGTATAACGAGAATTATACAAGATATCACCGTTGTGAACCAAAAAGTTGCCTCCGACATGGCCTGCAAATGCAAGTTAAATGATAAATATTTGTAATTTTTCAGAGATTATAACGATTCGCGCAAAAATACATACCATCGTAAGACTACCCACATAACTACCACCTATGACGAAGTTGTAGAAGTAATCTAAAATAAAATACCAAATGAGCGAACCCCACACCATGATGTGGTTAAAAACTGTCCAGTAAGACGTATCGAGGGCTATTTGAACAGTCACGACTATAACTAATATAGTAGCTACTACACTGCCCAGCAGCATGTGATCAGAAAGTACGTAACCCTTTGGTGATACTCCATCTTTGTATGTTCCTGAAATATAACAAAATATATGTGTTATATTGTTATAATTTGAGAATAAGCATTAAACATGTACAGCTCTTTTAATAAGTAAATGCAAAATATTTACCATAAGGTACTAAAAATAATACACAACTAGCATAAAATCCATGCAGAGCACTCCAACAAAATTCCTTCTTGTTGAAGAGCAAATTCTGCAATCCTGGCGCATACAATTTTGGATACATTAAACTGTTCTTGTCATTAACGTCTTGATCAAAAATACCAACTGCCAAAACCGGTAACGAAGTATAAAATAAATTGTAGACAGAGATGTACATAGGATCAAACACAGTCTGTAAAAAAATATACACATATGATATGATTGGTTATAATTTTAATCACTCGCAATACCTCTACTATTTTCTAGAATATATTATCAGTAAAATTATTAAATTCATATTCCAAATATCTCGACTTTGGAGAAAACTCTTACAAAGGAGTATTATAGATCATATTCGCCTTTGAAACATCATTTATTTTTTCAATTGTATTTCTTTTTTTCATTATTATAATACAATAATGTACAAAGTTTCCAAATGTCTTACCTGTGCGCTGAATCCACAGAAGAAGGCAAACCAGATGTGACAGAGAGTAAATGCAAAATTTTTATAAAAAAAATATCTAAGGAATTTACTCATTCTGTAGTATGACCATCTGCCGTGGACCAGAAGTAATCTTTCTAAAAACCTAAATTGTCCTATCGAATAATCCGAGGCCAACACAGCTTGCAATCCTTCCTGCCCGCTAATACCAACGCCAATGTGAGCCGTTTTTATCATCGAGACATCATTGGCGCCATCGCCAATTGCCAGAGTTACCGCGGATTTATTTTTCTTAATCAATTCAACGACCATTGCTTTCTGCAGTGGTGTCACTCGACAACATATTACAGCTTTACCTATAAAATTCGTATTATATTAAATATTTATTCTATATAATATGAACGATTCAAACTTACATTGACTGGATACTTCTAAAAAAGGTTGTTCCAGTTGTGGATGCAACGCATGAACCAAAGAATGTCCATTGATAACCACTGCAAATCCTGTTGAATGCTCCATTTCATGTTCATCCTGTTCATCCCTAGGATTGTATTCTGTATCACTGCTGTGCAAAGAAAAGAGCTTTCAAACAAAATGTGGTTATTTCAAAAAAAATAAATAATAATCTGGTGCTCATTTAACGAGCTCGAGCTTCATTAAATTCATGTAAGATATAATTGTAACAAAAATTAAATCAATCAATAGTTATAAGAAAAGATAGATAATAAATCGCAATCTTATCATTAATAAAACAACAGGAAATTTTGAAACTTTACATTGTTAAAAATAATGTACGTTAATCATAAATGATACACAGTGTGTTATATTAATAACTACAGATACAAGAGAACGTGACACAAGCAACATACAAATTATGTTAATATATGATATCACTAAAATTATATTATTAAGCATACAGAAAGAGAAGGAGTGAATATCAAGCATCATGATAATTCTCAGTTATCTATAACTATAAATATATCACTAAATCGTAGAATACCTCAGATAATATATGTGCAGTATCTGAAAAATATCTGAAGTGATTTAAAAAGTCAGATTTCTACCAGTCAACCTATTATTCTAAACAATTTGATTATATTGCTGATTATATTACAACAATAATGTAGCAAATCGCGATATTTTTGATAGTTGCAAGATATATAAAAGATAATTTTGTAATGCTTTGTAAATATAAAAGGTACTAAATAATACTATCAAATACATGCAAATCGTTATGTTGGATCTTTGCGATAGATAAATAGAAAATGGAATATAAAATCAATGCACATACAATAAATTAAGCGCTAATAAAATACGATCCGTCGACACATTCTTATAATTGTCCGAAAATAAATGCTAGATTATTTTTATTTTATTTTTTTTTTGAGTAATCATTATAATTTAAATTACATTGCAAGATTCACTAGCTTGAGTATAAAGCATAAGAGTCTCCTGCAATTAAGTACAATAAATTCTTATATAAATACAACTATATAAACATAGAAAGCATTACATGAAACATAATAATGCCACATTCATTGAGAGATCAGTTTTTCTTTTTTTTAACAAATGCGTTAATCAGAATCAGCAATAGAAGAAGTTAATAGATTGTACTCCGTCTCTTTCATGTGCCTGACCTTTCCTTGTCCCACCTGAATGTGACGATGGAGAGAGTCGGCCGTTTTTGTTGGGTCGAAGCTGTCTTAATAGTATCCAAACATCGTGTTAACTGTGTCTCTACGCCGTCGTAAGTAGTGGCGTCTATGACGAAGACATCCGTGAGATCATCCGTTAGTAATTGACACGAGTAACCGATGTTGATAGCCGTCTCTGTGAAAGAATTTAAAATAAAAATGTTATTATTACTAATATATATATATATATATATATATATATATATATATATAATTCATATGTGTTATAATATTAATATTCTTCAAAAACTTACCCTGTTTATCACCTGTTAATACCCAAAGCTTGATACCAGCGAGACTCAGATTGGCAATGGTTTGAGGTACACCATCTTGCAATTTATCTTCAATGGCAGTAGCACCTAATAGTGACATATCTTTCTCTATTTCTTCATAAATTGCGTCCAGTTTGTCGTCTCTATTTTCTTGGCTTAATGCCGCTTCTTGATGACGTTGTTTCCAATTATTGAAAAAGCTTTCATCCAAATCCCTCACAGAAAGGCACAATGTTCTTAAACCTTCACCTGCAAACTTATTTAGATGATCCAATGTTTTCGTCATTATTTCTTCGCTGTCCTTTTTCAATCGCTCGTAAATAACATTATCCGCTCCTTTGCAATATAATCGAAGATGCCCATCTTTCCTCAAAATTACAGACATTCTCTTTCGTACGTTATTAAAATCCAAAATGCAGAGTAATTCATATATCTCTTTTTTTCCCATTACTTCTATCGTTATACTGTTGGGTGATCTTTCTTTGAAAACAAAGCCAAAATTTCTAGCGGCGGATACGAGAGCAGCTTCATCGGGTGACTGTGCTTGGTATTCAATCCTGCCATTTTTCTCTTCTGGCATAACAGTGTGACAGAGCGCCAGCAATCTGAAAAAACTGTGGACATCCTGATTCTCTCTTTTCACGGCTTCAAGCAATGCAGGATCATAGAACTTGAAGTCTGGTTCGTAATCCTTGTTAAACGAGAAATCCAAAGGTGGCATTGTCTGCAAAGTGTGCAACAACAAGATTTTTCAAAAATTAGATTATTTACTTATATTTACGTATTTTACAACGAAGTTAGTTGTGAAAAGAGAAAATTAATCTATTAATTAATTAAAGAAAAATCGAAAATCTTATTATTGTTAACAAAGAAAGAAAAAAAACTAAACGGAAAGCTAAAGATTTCATATGTATTACTCAAAATAATATACTTTATCTTTATAAAAATAAATTTCTTAAAAAACACAAATTTTATATATATATATATATATATATATATATATATAAAATTTGTGTTTTTGTAATATACATATATGTTTTTAGTTGAATTACTTCTGAAACATATATGTATATTACGAAAAAATTGTGAAAGAAATTAATCTTAATAATCCATTAATATAATAGAAAAAATAAAAGAAAATGATACAGAGCATATTTATTTTATAACACGAAGTTCTAACATGCAAGAAAACACAAATGAAATATAAATATAGTTTATAAGTTATCAATACAAACACGATTGAGATACGAGTTATTTTATTGAATAACAAAGATACTAGACGCTTTGACTTACATGATATTGTGTGTGATATAGAATGCAACGATAAACAGATGATATTGAATGTGATGTATACAATTGCAATGAGATAAAAGCAAACAGATAAAAGCGATAGCATATACAGATTTCGTGACAAGAGGTGCTAATTATCAACATGCGTACTGAAGACTTGTGTGGAATCTTTGGACTGCCGTTGATGCCAGGTTCCGGTGTTGTATTGGATACTATGTCTGCTTGTTCCAGAAGACGTACATTTGGACCACTTAAAGGTGTATAAACTGGACGTACAAATTCTTGTCCGTTCTTCCATCGCATCGTTGGTGTTGGAACAGCTCTGTCCGTCTATACATGCAGCACACACATGCTAAGTGATGTATATGAAATCTCTTGCAAAGTTACGACCATGATACGTATTGAGATTAAATTTGCATATAATTACAAAACATCGTGTATGATTAAAAGAAGAGTCACAACGTATATCGACATTCAGGAATAGTCTACAAATTATATAAGCATGTAAAACAATGTGCAAGGACACTTTCAAATGATTGTATATACTAGTGATATATGTTTTAACGTGGTTTGTTAAAACGATTGCAAAAAAAATATATTTTATAGTTTCTTCTATAACTATTGTATATCAAAAAATTATATTAAATAAAAAAAATTATAATAAAAGAGAATATATAATATTAGAAAAATATTATCATTATTAAATATCATACTCCCAATGCAATATGATTCTTTTATACAATAACAAAAAATTTTAGCAGAAGCATATATGACTAATATTCTTTTCGCGCAATATTGGAAGCATAGCTATATAATGCGGATAAAGAATTGCTCTTATCTTGATCAATATAATTATATATAATTTTATAAGTAACATGAATGTGTAGCACGTACCCTATCATCAGCATCGAGAATCATAGATCTTCGCCTTAATAAAAAAAGCAACTCACCTCGCTCAAATCGATGACCTCGCCAGTAACTTCATCGATGATGTCGCCATAACATTTTCCCGCCACAGAACACTTGTTGAAAGTCATTATGTTCTGCGTCAATGTTCCGGTTTTGTCAGAGAATATATATTCTATTTGGCCCAGCTCTTCGTTTAACGTAGTAGTCCTAGCTTTAGCATGTGTTTTTGTGGGCGCGTAATACATTTCCTCATCCCAATTTATCAAAAATGATTGAACAAATCGAATAACTTCGACACTCACATACAAACTGATTGGCACCACTGTGTTCAATACGATAGAGTACGAAAAGAACACGAGTAGAGCGATCACTGTGGCACCGGTTATAGGCTCGCTCGGCACTAATGAGTCCCACGGCAGATACGTTTGAAAATAACGCCCTACTAAACTTTCCCAAATACCACAGCCGACCATACAGAATAGACATAAGGAAAGTAAAAAAAACACTATTCCGATGATGAGAAGATTCAGCAGCCTATCTATAGAGGTCCTCTTAAATTTGGTCTTCCCTGAGTTTTGCATCAATTTGGTATCCTTGCCTGCAAAGATCACCATGCCATAGCACCACTGCGTGTTCCTGAGAACACAGCCTCGTAAAATAATCTTGTCGTTATCCAATGCGTATCTGCAATATTTGCCGAACATTAACGACGCCATTTCTCACCTGATATAAATGATAGTTAAATAAACTTGATATGCGCAAAACAAGAACCAGTTATCTCCAGTTTACGCAAGAGACATGATCTTTTGCGGAATATTCCATTTAAGATTCTCGGTTCTCGTTTTGTTCTATTTGCGATATTAAATCTTACCTTTGTCCTCTCCACGTGAGTGTTCCATCGAATTTATTTAATAAATTATTCGGGGTTTCGCAAACAATTTCTCCATCGAATTGGCCGATCAATTCGTGATTATCCATCATCTCGGCAGTTTCGGGCAGACACTGACGACACTTCAAATTCGTCTCCCTACGCAAATTTCACAGATTATTATAACGGTCCGTCTCTATAAATATATGCTTAATCGTGTATAATTAAACAATTTTGTAGATTATACCCGTCCAATTCTGCTGTTTCGATGTAACAGAGGCCGTTCGGTTCGCTCGTTGTCAAGAGCAGAACGTCCGCTGCGACAAACTGATCGTTCTCCATTCTGATTACATCGCCTACTTGGACTTGCGACCATTTTTCCTCACGAAGATTAGTACCCCGTAATGTTCGGGATTTCCTATTATTTACTTGAGAATCGTTGCTATGCCGTTGCTAAAAATTAAAATTATCACATCAAATTTTTTTTTCAAATATTCTACTCTATTTTTCTCTAGGTATCAAAAGTTAATCGTTTCTTTATTTCTATATTTTTTATAAATAACTTTATACTTATATATAATTTTACAACTATTGATATTTGTTATGATACTAGTTTTAATATTTAATTATTCTTGTCAATTTTCACAAAATATAGCGAAAAATAACGAGAAAATTAATGATGAGAGAAGAAACTTACAAAGTCGTCGTAGGCATCTTTGACGGCAGTGAGCGTGAGTACCCCTATAAGCGGTATGGCTGTAGTGATAGGGGTTAAGGAGGATATGGCGGGGATCATCTGAAGCACCAACAGACATAGGAAGTAAAAGTTAGCGAGCCGTTGAAACTGCTCGAACAAATTCAATGGTAGGAACGTCAGAACCGAATACTTGGACGTCTTGATGTAATTATTCTGTAAAACAATAAAAATATTCGTATGTAATATTTTTATCATCTTAGACATAAAATTTTTCTTTATAACAATATTTAATATTTTTAATTTTTCGAATTTTACACACACCAGACTCTAACAAAATAGTAAGTATATAATAAAAATATATAATAATAAATATAATAGTAAGTAAAATGGTAAGTATATAATAATAAATATAAGAAGATACTTTTTTCTTACCGCATAATTAAATTGTGAGTTGTACTCGCGATTATTGGCGCGAATCCGCCTCTCTGTTTCTGTAAAAATGACACAAACAACAAAACACTTATTGCAGGTATAGCTCTATATATAAGAAAATAATCAATGATTCTCATTAGATATATGTAAGTTATCATCCGCACTGCATCGAAAAATATATTGTAATAAATTAGAATTAGATTAAAAATATTAAGAAAAAAAACAAAAGTTTATATGAAAAATACAATTTAAATAATCGTGAAATGGAAGACATAATTGTTCGATTTTTTTCGTAGTTAATTTCGTAGTTAACTAGTTAATCTATAACGTATTGCTTTACACACGCTTATTATTATATATCTACTGCGGCAGTGCTACATAATTGAATAAACTATTAATCGTTGGCTCGTCATGCGAAATATGGCAAAGTACAGTACGGTATTGCCACGAAGAACGATCGAATCGATCTTACATAGCAGCCACATCTCGCTATCACGTGTTCATGAAAAGTACGTGGGTGTTACGTATACACTCGTATTTTATTTATGGAATTTAATAAATTATTCGAATGTCTAAGGCGCGGAACCTTGATAGTCACAAAGTATACGGTAGCTAAAACTTGCATTAAAATAACATTGATCGTTGCATCTATTGCGTAACATGCGCATGCACTATTCTGTTCGCGATAATTACGTCGAGAAAAGTGACATAAATATAAATACAACATGTCAATTAAATGGAACGCGTACACAGCCGGTGCCAAATTACGACTGTGTCAAGGAAACACTCCATTTCCTCTTTCTAATAGCCTCTAAAAAAACAAATAAACAAACAAATTTTAAAATAAAGAATCGCTTATAATAGATTATAATAATTTATGTGAGCGAGACATTTTCTCTATAGATATCAACATTTCATATAACACAAAGATAAAACTATATGCATAAGTTAGTATAGATATCGCAACCACGCTTCGGACCTTGACTGAGACCAGCGGTGCAACTCCCAGGAAAAAAAAACCCGGCAATCCTGTTCGTGGGAACTCACCGCTGGAGAAGAAGGACGTGCTACGACCGATGCACTCGGTGGCGGGTGGCGAATTCGGCGGCACCGATGAGGAAGACGAGGCGGCGGTGGCGGACCGGTATCTGGTGCCCTTCCATATCACCAACTTGCCCAACACTGTCAGCAAAGATTCCCGTAAGGTGTTGTGCCGGCTACCGCCACCCAGACTACTGGATGAATCCCTCTTCGAGCACTCGCCCACCGCCTCGACCTCATCGGACGACGAGGCGAGGGTGAGCGCATGTGACCGCTGTTGACCGCCGCTACCGATCGTCACCTCCAGCTGTGGCTGCTGCAGCTGCAGCTTGCTCCGCTGTTGCGTTTTCCGCCGTTTCTTCCGTTTCCTGCGGCCGTTACCACCGCCACCAACGCCGCCGCCGTCGTCGTCTTCCTCGGCTTCCTGCGTCGAACATCTGCGGCTACCTGCCTCGCTGCTCCTGGATGTCCTCGCAGTACCACGACGTATCGTCGCATCTGCTAATTCGGTCTCGTCGTCGTAATCCTTCACCTTATGGTCGCACGACATGAATACATTCGCGTTACTCGATTCACGTTCAAGGACGAGTAGAAACGATCGGTCGAGGACACGCCGTTTGGCACGATAGATGCGCTTTTTCGTGTCTATTACTTTTCATGATCATGGATAAGAACGAGAATTCCTACTATTTGTTACGTGTGGATCATTTATAGGAATAAAGAAACGAGGATACAGGATAAAAATTATCACAAATTAATATCTTGAATACGAGAAGAATATTATCTCATTAATATAGAATTGTTTGAAAAATAAAAAGAATTATTAATTGACATCAAGATTTATATATATATATTATTATATTATATATTTTTAATATATAATATAATAATATATATATAAAAATCTTGATGTATATATATTATTATATTAATATCTTGATGTATATATATTATTATATTATATATTTTTAATATATATTAATTAACATCGAGATTTTTGTACAGATTAAATATTAAATACTCTTATACTGATTATATAGTCAGACTACTTAGCGACTATTGATGCAACTATTTGATTTAAATTTCAAAGTATACAATAGGATTAAATTAGGCGCCGTTTACTCCTACAAATCTTGTTTGTGTCGACGCTTAAAAATAAATCGACCACTTTGAGAAGCCTCGCAAGACTTCAACATTATCTCACGATATTGCATTTCTATAAAGATCGCGTAAAAATGAAGAATGATTATTAAAAGAAATCCAAGATAAGACCTTCCTCAAATAAATCTGTCTTATTCATATAAATTATAAACTTAATATTACTTAATTTATTATATATATGCAATAAATAAATATCGATGAGGATATTGATAATTTCGATAATTAAGAAAATTAATATAATTTTATACGCGTGTATCTTGATTGCAAAAGTAACCACCGTTGTAATATACTCTTCATGCGCGTAACTATCGATTACATTGTGTGTACTACTTTAGCAGCAATTTACCCGATTCATAAAATAAACTCGCCGAAGATCGTGGGTGCTCTAGAAAACGCGTGAAAAGCAGCGTGGCATGTACAAGTATAGATCGCGACACGCGTGCATGAAAACATGTCACGGACAAAGTAAATCAAGACTTTTTCCGGTAAACCTTTCTCGCGATAAAGCTTCAGTGCATCGATAGACGTAATAAAAGTTAAATGTCTATAAGAACTTTATTGAGCTATAAGCCATGACACTATGCACTTATCGCCTTTGACTTTTTTTCTCCGCGGAAAACATGAAAGAATTTGTCAAAGTTTACGATGATGAGAGATACCAAAATATTATGCACTCATGTTAGTGTTGAAATGCATTTCTTAAATAATAAAAATTGTAAAACTTAGTGCGAGGAATTTTTTCATAATTTTTTCTTTTAATATTTATATAAATTTATCGGTTTATTATATTATTATTGTTTTCTATTTATTTTTATTATTGTTAATATTACCTTAATTTAAAAATATTAAAGAAATATTTTTCATCTATCTTTTCAGTAATTTTGATATGTTGACGCTACATTAAGTGAAATGGTCGTTAATAGTTGAAAACGTGTACGGAGTTTGCTTGACCAAACTGTCTAAAGATTTGACTGACTGGCTCAAATGCTCCGACTTACTCTCGCAAGCTGGTTCGAAGTCACATGCGATAGCAATTTCACATGTAACAAGATTGAGCTTGCATTTAAAAAAATACACGACGATTAGACGACTAAAACTTCACGAAAAAAATTAAATCGAAAAAATATATTTTATATATATAAAAAAAAAAAAAATATATATATATATATATATATATATATATTTTTTTTTAAATGTATTTTCCTCATAAAAATTTGCATGTATTCAATAATTAAAATATTTACGTAGATATCGTCGTGATAAAATACGAATGGTCTGACTAAAATGAACGATAAAATGTGATAATAATCAAAACTAATAATAAGGATGGTAATGGGAATCAGGATGGATATGTGTCATGTTAATCTTGCAAATTACTTGGCAGACATATACGTTTCGTGATATGTAATAACACAATCATGTTCATCCACAAAGTCACGTTCAAAGCGCATTACTTGTCAAACAGCACGCGGGCCAGCGAACGGAAGTCTATTGCATAGTATCGAAAGTTGCATAACTCTTTAGCATCGGCGTTGCGTACTTGAAAAGTCAAATTGCTCTTCCAACAAGTTGTTTTCAACTTGCAATAGGATAAAATTGAATTTTTTATACATCTTGGAAAGGCCAAAAAATACCGAATTTATACATATGCTATACAGGGTTTTTCATAAGTGGTAGGCAAAATTTTAGGAATGGATTCCTCATGCTTAGAGAAGGAAAAAATGTTAATCAACATAGGTCCGGAAATGATTAATTTTTGAGTTATTAAGATTTTTGTAATACAAAGTTTTGTCTCATTTTTCGTTTAGAAGTCCTTTTATAGGCATCAACAATGTTTTTCAGGCTGCCGAACTTGAAAAACATTGTTGATGCCTGTAAACGGACTTCTAAGACGAGAAATGAGACAAAATTTTGTATTACAAAAATCTTAATAACTCAAAAACTAATCATTTCCGGACCTATGTTGATTGACTTTTTTCCTTCTCTAAGCATGAGGAATCCATTTCTGAAATTTTGTCCACCACTTATGAAACATCCTGTATACTAAATTATAAATATATAATATATACTAAATTTTGTAATATTTTGTAACATATGGAACTATATTTTGTAACATTTTAAAATTGCATTCAATATATCCAGTAAAATTATAAATAAAAAATAATCAAATATTTTTGAAAGTTGCATAATATATATCTATTAAAAATTATACTTTGCATCAGGTTATGCAACAGATTAATGTAATTATAATTAAATTATATAAGTGTTTAATTATTAGTTTACATAAACAGGTCATATGTAATCATAAAATCATATATTTACCATAAAATATGCTTGCTAAAAGCTGGTTGATTAATCTGTCTTTAGAAAAAATGTATATGTTGTCGCGTATATATTTTTCTTATTTAATTAAAAACTATTCAATAAGAATATAATTTACTAATTCGCCCTATATATTAATATTAAATAAAAGAAAACTAAAATTTTAATACTTCGAAATTTTCTATTTGTTTGAATCCTTTTAAAGAAAGATTCCATGATTCCATAGTTTCTCTAAATTAGAAATGTCACATAAGATAAAAGGACAAAAATTAAGCAGTTAATTCGTTTGGATTCATAAAAAAATTCACTATTATCTATTACTATTATTATTCAGTATTATTATTCAGTATTAAAATTTCGTCCGCAATTGCTCAACAATTGTATCATCGAATACATCGCATTTTCTCGAACACGATTTCCTTGTTATCCCGGAAACAATTCTTTTTCATCTGTCTCGCGGTGACTTCCGTTCGTCGCGTCCTCGAGAGGGGTTGAGGACTCACCTCGAAGACCTCGAGTTCCAGCGTGTCGACCTCGACGCTCATCGTCTATCCTACGCAAACTATAAATCCTCTATAAGGCCAACCTCTTCTGCCACCTTCGGGCACCTGAGCCGCGCCGCCGCCGGCGGCGAGACGACCTCGTCCCCCCCGCTTCGCGCTTCGCCTTTTACATAGTTCTTCCACCTGGGGCCCACCACCGTCTTCTCGTCTTCGCGGATCATTGCGGGACCGCATTAGTCCGCCAGCTGGCCCCTCGTGATCCGAAATCCACCGTGCCCAGCCACAGCACCACTACTGGACTGCCTCTCGTATCGGCGATCCAGTTGTCCGATCGACATTCTCTCGGGGGGTTCGAATCACTCGAAACCCCGTGCCCGATGCTCACCACGCACAAAGCGTAAATGTTTTTCACCCGGTAGAACACAGTTGTCCGCAGTTGTCCGTGAGAAGAAATTTTGTCAGGAAATTTTGTCGAATCTTCTCGATTTCCATAAACGCGTCACGGAAATCTGGATTTCCGGAAGTTTTGCCCGTTTTGCCGAACACAGGAAAACACGATCTTCCTGCGACGAAGCCTTGAAACATTTCCTCGATGCGATCGCTACGCCTATATATAAACATGTGATCGTGATTGAGAATTGTGCAAGGAGAAAGATCATGTCATCGATAACGATGGAAGAGATGCGATCGGAATTATTCACACGGGACGATGCCACGACTCGACATCACTAATCGTCCCTTGCGGTCGATTTTTGGAGACTTTCCAAGTGAAGATTAATCGTTACAATAACGAGGAAATTTAAAGTATGGACCTGTAGCGAAATTTATCATTTATTATCAGAAATATTGCTTCTATATTATAACTTTTTGAAAAAGAAGATATTTATTTATCAATAAAATATATTTTCGCAAATAGATCAAAATTAGAGCTTGCACAAATTATATTCTACAAATTATAATCTTTCTCTTTTTAATTATCTTATATAATCTTGGAATTTTAAAGATTAGTTCAAGCTAGCGCCAAATTATCATGTATAGAAAAAAAGAAACGGCATATTATTATTATTATTATTATTATTATTATTATTATTATTATTATTATTATTATTATTATTATTAATATTATTCTTATATTGAATAATGCGGTTAGACGAGTTATCTAATACTTTCCTGATTTCTGTTATCAAAGAAACAGGAAATGGAATCCAGCCAGATTATTTTATTTGGAGTATTAATTTAGGACTAATTAATATACTTAATAAATTGAGTTATTATAATTTTATCCAGAAATAAAAGTAATAAGAACAATATTTGTCTTCTTACAAAATTTAAAAAATCTAGAAAACAAACGAACTTATGAAAACTATTTAAAATAGGAAAAAGATTATTTTAATATTTAGATAAGATATTTATTTAATAGTTAGAATACCATATTTTTTCGGATTAATTATAATTTATAAATAAAACAAAAATTTTGGCGAAAAAACTTTTCTCAGCAAATTATTATTTTTCCAAATAAACAAATAAATAAAATAGTTAATAGACAACTAAACTATCAAACTAAATAGGCAAATGGAATTTATAGAAATACGAGACATAATAGACATAAAGAAATAGCTTTCTATATCCGACACGTATTTATCATATATATTGAACTATTCTTAAACTTAAATAGACATTTCTTTCATCCTTGCGAAAACATGTCACAGAAAAGGATTGCAACGCACACTTATCCACCCACGTATAAGCTAAGTGCCACGTTTGTATGTCAGTAACCGGAGATGTTCATAATAAGCGGATGACGGTGCAGTATCCTGTTTTCTAAAACCATTTCTGACTAATTCTAGATGGTACGCCTATGAAATCAGTTGCCTATATTATTTACGCGTAAATAATAATTGACCATTCTCGAAACCGGCGCATTCGTTCCGCTTGCAGATTAGAATGACCCATTGGATAAGTAATAAGATGGCACAATCGTGAATTGTGAAAAGACGCCTGCACTTCCATCTCGTCTGTAACAAGTTTATCGCGACTAATGGAAGTGCAAAAAAACATAAAAATTTAAGATTACTTATTCGTGGGCGATTTCTAACAATAAAATTTAAAAAAACAGACAAAAAAAACGATTCTTCATTAAAAAAGTTAATTAAAAGTTTTATTTTTTTTTATTAAAGTCATCAATATCAAATTTATCTCAAAAAAATAAGAAATATAAAAATGAATTTATTAATGTATGCATGTATTTTTTAATGTAATTAATAAATATAATAAAAATTTTTGAGAAAGTATTCGTCAAGACCAAAAATATTCTCACGAAGTGTACTTTGACGAACGCAAATCCTTCGAAAAATAGCGTCCTTGATCTCTGAATACTAAAATGATGTCATCGTTCACCAAAGTCGCCGCTTCTGTTCTCGTGTAGCAGCAAAAATACCCGGGCTTCCTCCCGAAATAATGGCGAACGGATTTTATAGTGGCCGTGCGTATGCGAACCCGACATTTTCAAACATAACGATGCCGAACCCAGTTAACCATACCGAAAGAATATAAGAATAAAACGGACGGCTGTTACATAAGATATAATAGTGCTCAGTCAGAAAATCGTTTCCGATATAGTATCAAAGTATCATCGAGGGTAATAATGTGTTACCTAACAAATATCCGCTGATAATATTCAATGCGTCAAAACTAAAAGAAAAGACGTCATGTATTATTTTATGTTGAATTATATATACATACATTTGAAAAGAAAAATATCAATTTTTAATCCTTTGTAATTGTTTACTTAATTAATTTTTTAAGTTGAATAAAAAAGATGTTATATATATATATATATATATATATATATATATATTAATTAAAAATAAATACTAATTCTACATAATAATTAAAGCAATATATATTAAAATAAACAAAATTAATATTTATTGTTTTTCTTTTTGCATTAACTATATATTTTCTACTTAACGCGCTTAAGTTTAGATCTTTTAGTGAAACCAGCTGTCGGTTTTCTCACTCCGAGGACTCCTACACAAATCATTCTATACTCATAACGCTAAGTATAGAATGATTAAACATGCGAGTACGGATGTGGATGTACGTTCGTCATAATTAGTTCCAAATCTTAATACCTCTAACAAGGTATGACGCGAAAGTCTACTGGGGGCTTTCAAGATCTCGTCTAAATTTTATCTGGAAGCACAGTTTTCGGCGATAATAGAGTCACGAGCGAGTACTCCACTTCCCACATTTAAATGCATTAGCGTGATTCTTTTCACCGTTATAGCAAATTGTTATCCTGATTTATTATATAAGGCAGATTACTATATTTTTATTCAAATTTATATAAATATTTATGTTACTTTTATTCGATAAAGGGAAATCAGGCACTTTCTTTGAGAATCATACATGCCAGAGATTAAATAAATTGCAGTTAGGCCAATATGGGCAATAATAGCATAACGACGAATTTTCTCTATAAACATCAATTAAAGCTGAGATTTAATTGATTCTCCATCTCATAGGAAGGAAATAGAATATATTTCGAAGACATTCTATCCTGCACGAAAACAAAAGTTTAATCTGGTCGAAAACGTGAGTGATAAAAAAAGGAAAAAGAAAGTTCGGAGCAATTTCGAGGTGTCAGCTTGCGACCGAAATACATCCATTTATTTTTTCCTCTTCGCGCACGCGTCATGTATTTATTTCCCTCCTCAAAGAGAATTTTACGAGTGCGTACGCAGGGCACCGTTTAATCATAAAATAACCGAGACTGTCATCGATATATCTAGATCGCAACTCGATGGGAATTAAATTACAAAAGTGCTGGAGTTACTGTTTTGTTATCGATGATTGGCGATATCGCGTCTCGATGACAAAATGCCGATACATCGATACGAAAGCAACGTGAAATGGAAATAAACGTAACGTGTTCTTATCGCTTACATCATCGACAATTCAACATCATCGTGACAATTTCCGGCATTCGAGACTTGTTGTGAAATTAAAAAGTGGCAGAATCTTTTGCATGTGTGTGCTGCAAATTTAGATAAAAAAATTAATATCATTCTCAAGATTTCCGATAGTTTGAAAAAAATTAGCATTGCGACTCAATCATAAAATAAAATGATGCAATAGATATATCGATACGTGAGATTAATATTGTTTATCTTCATCATCGTATAAAAGTTTCTCAAAAATACGAAATCCTAGATACGCGCTTGAACGCTAGATACGCGCGTGAAAAGAAGATTCAAGAGAGAGTGAGAGAGAAAGAGATCCGACATAGTCGCGCATTCTTATTGTATTATACTCTTATGCATCGTCACTTTTTGCAGCATCTGATTGCGAGATCCGTTACGCAACTTGTATCATTTTATGCGCGAAGCATGAGTGAAGCACTTCGAAAAACACGAGCAATATATAATGCTGACTATAGAACTTTTTTGCACTTCTAACGTTGCACCGTAGTAACGGCGGTGTGTATTCGATAATTGGCACTCGACCAGGGCGCCCTGTCATTCGTTTCAATTATCCTGCTTTGTTGATGATACAGCCGGTTCTATACACCCACACGAATAGCGCATACTGATAATGAGTCAAGCGTCTTTTTTTGTCTCCCCCCCGACAATGCAGCTGTATGATAATGAGAAATGCTATGATTGCGTTGCACGATGATGTAACGTAAATCCATTTGGATTAACGATTATTCTAGATTACAAAAATACTTAAATCCCTTAATGTTTCTCAAAAGCAAATTTATTATCTTTATAAACAAAAGCAGACACTACTTTTGTCTCATATTTTTTTTCAAACTAAATAATCCATTTAATTAAAATTTTGCTTGATACAATATTTGCTTGATAAATGTAACTAAGATTCAATATATTAATTTCAATAAATTAATTTCAAATTGTAGAATAATTTAATAGTATAGTAATATGTATAACAACATTAAGCATAAAATGATATCAAGATGTAACATGCAATTGATATGAAATGAATAATTAAAATGCATTTATTGTTAGATGCGTTTTAAAACAAATAAAAAAGAAAAAAAATGTTATTTTCATTATACGTCGCATTGCGTATATACGTCACATTACGATAGGAACCGCTGCCGAAAGTCAAAGGGACATAATTCCGACTAGCTCACTCTCGAATTATCGCATAATGAAACAATAATAAAACGACCCACGCGAAATCGCAATTTCCCAGAAAGCATATACTAAAAGTGGAGCATCCAAACATCATCGGAAACAAAAGGTCGCATGACAATCAACATTTTATCACCATAAGTCTAGATGAAAAGTCAAAATTTATATAATAACTCGAATTTCGAATTCTGATAATTTATCTAGTAAATAAACTAAAATATCTCTATGGGAAGATGTTACATCTTGTACAACAGCAATTCACACAGACGAAGATAAAGTACCCTTCGCCAGTATCAAGAAGTAAAAATAATTTTCAATCTATGTCATAAGGCATAAAAAAGAGATCCGTCTGGAACTTCGTAGAACTTTTTTAATAAATTCCCGCGATTGTCAATATATACACGGCTGCTTTTTCTCTTCCACGTGTATATTTTTCCAGTCAGCCGATCGATCCTATCGTTGGTTGGCTACTCTCGAACTACTTTCATTTGTGTATAATTTTATCCATAGATTGACATAAACGACAATTCGTTCTCGGTATGACGCAAATTTGTAATTCTAGACATTAGCCTGTTTACAAAAAGTTTCCTGCGCTCTCGTATTTCGAGAATTGGAGAGCTTGCTGATTTTGAAATATATTTGACGAGATATTTTTAGAAATTTTTCACACAAACGAAATTTAAAAGTTAAAAAAAGCCATGATTGCACTCCAATATTTTTTTGTTAAAAAAATTCTGTCGAAAATTTAATTTTTTAAAGAAAGTGTTTAATAACTAGTAATAATAATAAAAATACATAAATAATTGCTACAAAGAATTTTTTGTGCTTAATATATTTTCTATCTTTAATTACTTTATAAAAATCTATAAAAAAATTAATATAGAATCGATATATATATATATATATATATATATATATATATATATATAATAACATAGAAATTTGTAGATATATTCATCATTAATAATATTAGTAAATATATTATAAAAATATTATAAAGATATAAAGATATTAGTAGTATAACGTGTAGATATCAAACATATTAAATAATGATTATCTCAATGCACATATATACTAGCTATGAGGTATAATAATAACTGAACTGCTCATATTCCCTATGAGTGTCGAGCGTTATTAGGTCATTCTAGTTTAAGTTTTCCAGGCCAACAAGTAGAATCATCGTCTTGCGTAAATCAGCGTCCCTACATGCAGGATGTCCATTAACGAATGTCATATGATGACAAATTCTTTGACGGAATTAAATCTATAATTGAAAAACTTATAACAGTTCTCTAATTCTCAACTTTAAAAATCTTAATAATTAAAATTCGGATTAAATTTTTTATTTAAATATTTAAGATCGACTAAACTAATTTAAACTCGATTAATAAAACTCATTTTTTTTTAATTGTTTACTTATATCTTAATTATAAATCTCTAATTTCTGATGTTGATTGCCATCGACGTTGATAAAATGTTTCTCCTATCAAATTATCATTACACGGAAATCTATTTTGAAGTTAGCAGCGAATGTCAGCGGTCATTATAGCAAATGAAGACACCCTGTATAACACAGTACTAGTTTTCCATCGGCTGCGAACTAAGCGATTAAGTAAGAAGAGATTAAAGTAAATTGCGTCGTTACATCTATAGATATCTATAGATATCAGACATTAAACCAGCTAACAATCCCTTTCCTGTTTCCTCTGATAACAAAAGAAAAATATCCACGATGAAAATATTATTTTTCGAATAATTAATTAATGATTAGCATAATAATAATAATCTTTGATAAGTTTGAAGAGAACAAATATATGTTTAAAAAATTGGAAACAATATATGAATGCATGATTCTTCTGATAATGAATACAATGTTCGTACACTTACGATACTGAAAATTCATTTTCAGTAAAAATTAGGCGGCTTTACTTATACGAAATCAACGATTTGTCTCCCTGCTACTCCGGTAATCTTACGATCGACACTTTCGATCAAGATATAATAGAATTCTCGATGAACCGTCTATTTACTTATAGCCTTGCAATAATTCAGCCACTAGTTGATTGTCCATCTGCGTGTTTATTATTGATCGCGTGTGCGTTCATAAAGCACCCGACAGATATGATTAACGACACGTGGCATGAACGGCGCTCTCATTTCCGACGAGACGGCTGTACGAAAAACTTCTCGGAGGAAAACCTTACATCGTTACGTTAACATAATTTCTTTCAGCAAATACGTTTACAAGGTCGGGTTATGTCCGGCCCGACCCGATAAATGTCGCTGTGAAAGACAAGTTAAATGATGCGCTTCGCGATACATGCTGGAAAAGATTTCTAATTAATTAAACTTCACTGCGTTCAAATGAAAACGCGAACTTCATCCTGTCCCATCATTCCCTGCGGTTTATCGATCGACAGACACGCAAATGCAGCTGCAAAATCGAAAAGGTTGAGTAACCTACTTTTCATCCTCAGGTGAAAGCGAGAATTTGCACTTGATGAGCGCGATTGATAATATCTCCTTTTTTCACTTTCCTTTTTCAATATTTGTCTGTTTTTTTCCAAAATAGATTAATAAAAAAAAAGTAAAAAACAAAAATACATAAATAATCCTCTGCTCGTTATTTTTTTCTCGCTTCCTTCGAAAAAAATCCCCTTAATTTTACGTCTTCTGAAATAAATTTATCTCCATTCCCTTCAATTCGAAGATTTTCTCGACCGCAAGGGATGATCTCTTCGATTTCAATAAGCGGTATGGTACTTTTCCATTCGTCATCTTCGAAGGAGCGACGACTTTACTCGCTACGAAGGCCTCATCGACATCGTTCTAATGGCCAGCATCCAGACACAGAAAGAGAAAAAGCGATATCGAGAGTGAAAGAAAAAGAAGAGAAAACTCTATATACGGAAGACTCCAATTATTCGATCTAATAAAAAGAAAAATTTAAGTCATATTTTTCATTAAACTGGATTAAATTTTTTTTACGAAACCGATAGATTTCATCGATAACTTAATCTTCATAAAAAAAGTAAAAGTAAAAAGCAATCGATTTTCCTTGTAATTAAAATTAATTAATTTTCCCTTTTCAACAAAATTTCATGAAATTTTTGAAATATATTGATTAGATCTTAATTTCTAAAACAATAGAAATTAATTTCTAAAACAATAGAAATTAAGATCTAATCAACATCTTCCAAAAAAAAAGAAAAAAAAAATAATTAAAAAAATAATTTTTTTTCTAATTAATTAATTTCTTCAATAAAACAATAAAAATAATTTACAATGTAATCTATATTCGCTTTCTAATTAAAATAAATTTTTAATAATTAAATATAAATTTCTCCCCAATTAATTTATTTTTGTCATAGTAATTCTTTAAAAAAAAAAGTTCAACTTTATTAATATTATAGAAGAAGGAGAAGGAATGCGAAATCGAGAAAGAGAAGGAGCCTTACCGCGTAAGCGCGTGCTGCGACGACAAGGCGCGTATGAACGCCCGAGAGGCTTTTAAACGGCAATCGATCGCCGTCGCGATGAGGTCAACGTTGGTTTCCCGAGCGTATACGCGGGCCAACGCGGAAGAGGATTGTCAGATGACAAATCAGACTCGTCATGCAATCGTATCAACGCCCTTATCAAACGACAAGGCCTTCGATTGCCACCCACGATTATTACGCAAAGGACGAGGACGATATGATGACGTCGGCGGATGTGATAGCGAACCCGTATCATGATACCTTCGTCGTCATATCCCTGAAAACGTCTGCTGCTACGTTTGACATTGGTACGATTCGCGGCACGATTAAGACGAGAACGCGAGCAACGTCGACCGATGACGACAGACGAAACAGACGTCCGGGTGATTACATCGTCGTTATCGTCATAACTCACAAGACGCGCGTTCTCCCCTTTCGTAGAATATATATCGGAGTCGCAAGTAGATCAGCCGGTGATTGGGCGGACACCGTTCTTCATTTCACGTTGCACCGGCATCGGCACTGTCACCATCATCATCACCATCACCGTCGTTGTCATCATCGTTACCATCAGCTTCATCGTCTCGGGAGCGCACCGAGCCGCGAATCGACGACGACGACGACGTCGGCGCGTGCCTGACAAGACGACCGATTGATAACGAGGAGCTTGCGAACGTACACGCACTCACGCACCGAGGACTGGTGTCCGCGTTCCTTTCTCTTCTCCGATGAAGGATCACGGCGGCGCACTTCACCCGGCGATGGAAACGGAGCAGTTTCGCACGACACGCATACACGCACAGGGGCTGCTGTTCGGCGTCGAGATTCACGCGACCTCGAGGCGTCGTCCAACGACGGCGCCACGCGTCGTTCGGCGTCGCGACGCGTGGCGAAATTTCGAGACGACGATGCCAAGCGTCGTCGACGACTACGGGGATAAAGAGGGTTGCTGCTGCACTGACAGTGGCGAACGCAGCTGTGACCAAGGGATCGATCGATTCGTCTACCAGCTGTACGCAGATGGTATAAACGATTGGGGAAACTTAGACCGTTTAACGGAATAATAACACGAGTCGGTAAAAATTACATTTTGTTTTAGAAAAGATACGAATAAGATAGACTAATTGCGAATAATAATGAATTGTAATAATAATGAATGGATTAATGAATTTAAAGTAAATAACAGCCTCCTTTTATTTACGCACGCGCAATGTGGTGGATATTATTTGCATATGTGTCATTGTAATACAGATATAAAAGGAGAAAATAATAAAAGGAACTCGTCAAGAATTAAATGTCTAATTTTTAAAATCTCTTGTTTGTCAGAATTGGAAAAATATGATTATTATTATAAATAGGAAAATATGATTATTATGATTGTTTTCTTTGTAGAGCAACTAGTGAGAAGATAAAGTGAAATTAAATAGCAGAAGATTGATGGAATAAATGTGCACAAGCAAAAAATGTCATACAGTACTTCCGCAAAAGTATATATAGTCTGGTCATTTGAAGAGTTTGAGGGCAAAATTGATGTGTAAAAAATTATTACACAATTAAAAAAGATAATTCCGGATGGAACGAAGTTGTTGGAGTTAGTCAGTAATTGAAAATCAATCAATATACACTTAACATGTCGTATTACATGTCATATTGCATCTATTACATGTACATGCCATTGTTACTAATGAGAATCACTGATGCTGACAAGTGTTATTATAAGGCAACGCGGAAAGACGAGTCGCGCTTTGATGCATCATCAAGATGCGACATGTGTCGCACATGTCAATAAATAAGGATCACTCACCTTGCATAGGCCGTGTGGCAGCGCTGCGCGACATTGTTTGCGTAGTTTTAGGCTGTACTTTCGAGTTAGGCGCTTCTGTGGACGGAGTCTGTCGATATGTTCGTCGACGCAGAAGATGACAACCGTTAGGCGATGCGATCTCCCGGTGCGACGCTGGTCGGCTATTGTAAAGTGGGCATCAAACGCGCATCGATGCGATATAAAAACGTGGAACGTACAAAATTTTCCGTCTGTCCGGCGATCAGTGCTCAACGTCGTCGCGTTATCTTCGAACAAGATCGTTTCACTGCCAGCAGCGATGGACGATCTTTGAGCGCGATACTTATTTTCCAAGACACTGAAGAAACGACGACGGATCGGCGGTCTTTCTGTTACGGGGCACAGAGGACGAAGAGGATCGAGGCACGTAGGTGACGGAAACGACGTTAATAAAGATGACGTTCTTAAAAGCAATGAAGGAGGCCTCCTGCTGGATATTCGACAGCGTTGACGGCGACGTAAGGCCTGGCGTGGTGGCACCAGAACGATGCTCAAGTCGGATATTCCGCGGCGAGATAATGGCGACAGGATATCCGGTGTGGGGGGTACGGGGGGTCCTTTGGGGGTGGTGTCCATGTGGGGTGAATAGTCACCTCCGACCTTCCGTCCCGCCTGCGGGCCACCTTCTCCTCCAGGACCTCCTCGTCCTCGAGATGCCCCAGCTTTCGGTGATGCCCGCGGACACCACCCTCGCACGCCGCCAAGTCTCACCGATCGGTTCCCACGTTATTAAGTCTCGTGGGTGCAGACTGCAACAAGGAAAAATCGCAATCAAAATTCGAAAGTATTACTTAGCTTTCTTACTCTTGTCAAACATTACTACTTCTTGTCAAACATTATTCATTCAATTATATAAATTTGTTCTCGCTTTAAAAATCCCCATAGAAAATTTCTAATAATAAAATAAATAGCATAATTTAAAATTTTATTTTTTTGAATAAAAAATAAATTATATCTCTCTTCTAAAAAAGATATTAAAGATATTTACATGACGATTTTGAAGATATTTACATAAGTGAATTATTTACAAATATATATAGAGAAAATATATATATAGAGAATATTTATAAAGAATTATTTTATTTAAGAAAGTAGAAAGAAGCGATTAATAAAGACATTGATTTTATTCGATAATAAAATGAGAAAAAATGTTGGAGAAAACATTGGCAATATGAACAGTTTACTATGATGATCTGTCTGTATAAAGACATCATTCAACAACGTTTGATATATAAAGCATCAAACATGCTGACGTTCTTCTAAAAGAATGCCACGCAACGATATAGAACAGTCCAAATGTATAATACATCACATGACATGCACGAATAATTAAACATCTGATACCACGAGAAAGCTATAACCACTGTTATAAATTATTGCATAACAAAAAATTCACGAAGTAATATATTATTAATATATTATTAAGTTAAAGTAGAATAGTAATATTTTTCTACTTAATTAGTATAATCTTCGTCATAAAAGTCAATATTTTACGAACTAACAACAATAATTCACTTTATATAATTTACACATTATTTGCATCTTTTGCCGTACGCAATTTAATACTACGCTACTATAATACAAATGCGTTCAATTTTAACGAATCTATATGAGAATCTATATAGATAACTTTTATCTCTAACATTATGTGAACATGTATGTGAATTAGTAGATATCAAAAATATTTGTTTTTTTTTCGAGAATTAATAAATTGATAAATTATGTGTAAATATCTCATTAATTTATTATTACGCATTTTATCGATTACAAATTCGATTAATTGTTTCTATGTAAAAAATAAATAATTAATAAATAAACATATGATATATTATCGAAATAATTTATGTATTATGAGTTATTGATTAAATTATAGATTCATGATAGAAATACACATTGATAACAATCGCATCAATTATCATTTATGCATTATTTTAGTTAGTTATTGAATTGATCTTTTCATCATACTTGTTTGTATTAAATACAAAATACACAATATATTATTTCTAAATAATTTGATTAATATCGAATATTAGATTACAGTTATCTTCAAAATATTCCGTCATAAATAATTCTGTTACATATTGAATAAATTAGTAAACTAATAAACTTTAATTAAATATTATGTGATTTCAGAAAATTAGCAAATTAATGAATTAAATATTAATTAAATATTATGTGACTCCAGAAAAAATTAAAAAAATAAACATGAAAGAATATTATAAATTTTACAGACTGGAGCTTGTGTAGAGTTTTGATAAATGAATATTTAATTAATTATCTAAAAATATAATCGAATCAGATCTTAATTATTAAATATTAAGATATTAGTTATATTAAATATTAAGATGCTAGCATTATTATGCCATGTGGAATATAATATCAAACCTGATTAATCCATGCGCGACTAAAATGCTTATCAGATACCTAACGAACAAGAATTATAGTAACGGCTATCACTCACGAGAGAAAGGGCTAATTGTAAGTTGATGAATATGGAATATGGAACGCAAATCCAGAATGAAATCCAGTTCTCAATCGCATATCTCAAGGACGGTATCGGTATAACCAAACCAACAATATATAAGTCGATGGTCAATCGAAGCAAAGTCGCGCCAACTACCACCCTCATTACATATTCACGTATCCTTGATTCATACAGCAAAGTTTTGTCGCGTCTGACGTGTCTGCGAAAGGCAAGGAATCGTTTATTCACAAATGATTGCTTGCCTTTCGCGATAAACTCCTTTTCGGAGACGTAAGTTAAGAACTTGTGTTATAGACTCGGCGCAGGCGACAGTTTAAGCCTCGCGTGCACTTCTTCGAGAATCACACGTGCGTTTGATCAGAGATTGTGAAGAAACGGTCAAGGGTTAATATCACGAAAATGTATGGCTCGAATATTATCACAAGATTTTTCTCTTTTAACCTTCTTTCTCGTTGTATTAATACCAAATAATAACTGTTTTGAATTTTACTTTTTGCAGTAAAAAGATATATTAAAATATATTATTTCCTATCTTTATATTTATCTAAGTAATAGTCTTTTTTGGAAGATATAATTAAGTATATAAAAAATTAATTATTTTACGGAAGATAATCTCCCAATGCTGGAACGTAAAAACACTTCATAATGTCATATAGTTTTATATCGCGGGATAATCGTGACGTCGTTTGAAGCTTCCAGCTGTCGGCATGAATGAGGCTTTAACGCATGCTTTATCGTCCGTACGTTGATAATTGAGTTAACACCGTGCGTGGCGTGTGCGGAATGAAATCTGCAATCCAAGGTAGTATCGGACACCAACTCGTGAGCGCACTTAAACTTGCCTCACATGTACAATTAGAATTGGATTAACGTAATGAATTAACGTTTAATATATCTATTCGTCACAGATTTTACAAGCATTGCTAATTTCATAATAAAGATTAGCGGATAAAATCAATTTTATAGTGTATTTTGTATGATTTTCTTCCATAAATCATATACCTTCCATAAATTATGAGAGTAAATATATATTATCGATTTTATTTCTCCTAGTATGCGCAACCATATATCGACTATTATGTACTCCGAATATAAGTGTGATACGTAAACCAAATCTCATTCATATGAAATTTATATTTAAATAACGAGACGTTACATAATGCGCGAAGGATTTAATTAGCACTGGGAAGATTTTCCAAATTTCAATTTTAAATATAAATGTACGTATAACTATTAATCTTAATTAAATTTAATTTTGATAAATGTGCGCGTATAATTCTTACGTAGCTGAATTTATTAACGAATGTTCGCCACTTGAGCGAATACTTAAATTCATTTTCAACTTGTAGACTGTAAAGTAATGGCAGCACGTGTAACTAGGCACAGTTCGCTTGGATCAATACTTGGAATATTTCTTTGCTCAAATGGCCGAATATTTAAAAGTTCCCGCGATCAATATAATGGAAAAATAATAACATTATATCAAAAAGTCAAATAAAAAGTCAAATGACAAAAAGTCAAATAAATTAAAAAATAATTGATTTATGGCGAAATAATGAAATGGAAAAGTAATGGAAATGGCAGCAATTATGGAAGTGTAATGTAACGTTAATCATCTGCCAACTACTAACAAGTATTTATACTCTATGACTAATACGAATCATATATGTCATCTTTCCAAGAAAGTTATGCGCAATTTTAAATAAAACAATTAAAACAATTTTAAATAATTTTTTAAAATTACAACAGGTACTCCCTTGTACAAATATTAAAACAAATAAAATATTAAAATATATACAAGATTTCTAATAATAATTTCTTTATAAATATGTACAAATTTCTTTCGCATCGATCACATTTTCCTTAAAAAAAATTATTTCGATAAAATTTTTTAACAAAATTTCTTTTCAAGATATATTCGTATGTAAAAATACAAGTGTGTTGCAATCTAATAAATACATAAATTCTGCTGTATCACCAAATATCAAATTGTCATGTAAAAGCGAGACTTGGACTTATTAGGATCATAACCATTTATACCTTCCGAAAGCATTCGCATATCGATGTATTTTAATGTACCGTTAATGTTACAGAAAGATATCTTCCAGTGATGCATATATTATCATACGAAATATAACGATAATGAAGCAATTAAAATAATGAAAAATCAACATATTAATATCTCAAATATCATTAGTCCTCTCAAGTAGTCATATCTCAAATATCATTAGTCCTCTCAGTAGTTCCGTTTCAATGAGCAATTCAATAAGAATTAAGAATATGTGCGATATATTGCGAAACAAAAATATAGATATAATATATATAATAATAAATAAATAAATGTAAAATATGAGTAAAAGAATAAGACATAAATTTACGATGATTATATGAAATATATGCGAAAATATTGTATTCATTATCATATGTGAGACATTATAAAAGAGAGAAATAGGAAAAGAGAGAGAGAAGCCATATATTCTCAATGAATAAATAAATATAAAAAGCATGATTATTCATTCTTTCGACTAAAAGGAGCTGATAATACGTATAAATAATTGATTGATAATTAATTATAAATTTGCACAAATTATTAATTTTTATATCTTTATATATTATATTCATGAAATAATATGTAAAAAAACATTTTGGAAATTTCATAAAAAATTTTTAAGACTAATATTATTGTTTCACCGTGTATATTAATATTTATCCATTTTTCAATTGACAATTCTATCACTAAAAGATGTGAATATTTCTAACGGAATGCTTCTTGGAAATCATTTTTTATTACGAAACAGATACATTTCTGAGAGAAACTGTAATTATATTAACCTTTGAACTATATAAATTTGCATAACGACAATTATATGAATAAAAACTATTTATGAGCAATTTAATTTGTTTTACAAATTATATTATTAGATATTAAAAATTATGAAATTATCAATACGCAAATCTTTGATCGCCTTACATTATTCTTTTTCGTTGTAATCATACATTCAATTTCATGCAAGTATCCTTCATATTCACTTCTATTATAATATTAGCTGTAATTTTTTAATGTTGCCGATAATCATATGTTGTGAATCATATGACATATTCTATATCTTTCGGCTAATTTTAAACCGAAATTCAAGCTCCATTATATCACAAATTCTAAATTAATCGTATTTATAACATAAGCAACATTTTAATAATTTTGGATAAAATGCATCAACTTCATTACATTATTTTAATATTTAGCGATAATTCTCCCTTTTATCTTCTTTCTAGTTAAAATTTAAAAAGTATTTATATAAATAAAAGACAACTGTTTTTCTAATGCAAATTATCTTTTTCGCACAAACATATTGTAAACAATTTCCATGATTTCTATTAACTCTCGTGATTATAACAATTATAATAGCCGTGATATCAGCTTAAATAGTAGATTATGCAACTATCGACCGAGAATAGTTCATAGTTACGCAAGTAAGATATGAAAATGGAATGCATTATTATGATGCATTATTATGATATCTAACTATATTTTTTCATAATATAGTTAGATATCATAATAATGCATTCCAACTAGTTATTTTCACAGTCTTTTAACATGTATCATTACATTGTTCAAGTGCAAATAAAATAGAGACTTGTTGAACAATTTTCGCAATATTACTATAATTACGAATATAAAAACAGAAATGTTTTTTTACGAATATAGAACAATTTGAATCGTCATTTCGAATGCTACGTCATGCATATTATGTACGAATAAAGTCGTCTGCAGTTTAAAATCTGAGTTGGCATTTGGAAACACATTTGCACATAAAACCGGTAGTAAATTATACGTGGTCAGAGAACAAGAAAGAAACATAATATATCTAACGTTCAAAAATTTATGAGAAAATAATATTTTTATATGTATAACATTTTTATAATTATTTTGTATTTGATTTTGACGTGATTTATTTATCATTTGCTAATACGCATTCATACTTACATATATATTTTCGCATATTTAAATTAATATGACGCAATATTTAAATTATCATGATATTTACATGTCATTATATGTTAAAGGTTTTGCAAAATTTGTATAGCATATTATTGCTTATTAAAAATTGCTCATTATTTATAAAAAAATTGCTTATTATTCATAAATTAAAAAAAAGCAAGAAATATAATCTCAATTTTATAAAGTGTATTCAGAATCTTACTCGATTTTTAGAATTAATCTACTTTCTAAAATAAGTATCAAAAATATCGTAAAAAAAGCGTAAAAAACATAAAAAAAATTATAAGACTTATTTTCGAAACGAAATTCTCTCGTGCAAGTAACGTAAGTTTATTGTAAGTAATGTGTACGATGCGTACATATGTTGATGAGATCACGATTGGCATTCGGCCAGATTCTCACTGTTTTAACTTTTCTTCACATTAATCAACTACTTTTCAAATACTCAAATTTTGATTATATAATTATTATAGAGAACAGATCAAAATTATAAAAACGTATCTCTCAAAATTGGCAAATATATCGTATTGTTTTGGAAGATGTAAATTCTTTCTTAAATAAAATAAATAAATCTCTAATAAATATATATATATATATATATATATATATATATATATATATCAAGGGAATTAATTTCGTTAATAAAATATTTATATTAATTAATAAATAAGACAAAAATCGTATAAAAAAATATATGGATATAAAGCACAAGGTTTTCCATCTATTATTCGCGCAGTAATTGAGAGAAAAAACAATATAAAGATGAGTAGTTGTCAATGGTCGTCTCGTGCATCATTAGTGTCTCCTCGTGATTCTTATGTAATCTCCATTAACTTAGCTTCTCTACTATAAGAAATCAAATGTTATGGCAAAATATTAAATTTATTATTCTAGTTCTAAATGTTAATTTATTATTCTAGTTCTAAATGCTAATTTATTATTTTAGTTCTAATTCTTATTCTAATTTTGAATTTACTCCTTTTAATTAAGATATTAAAGACGATAGTATTGATCTAACATTATTCATTATATATTAGCATGTTTACTTTTGAAAAACATATAATATTCTAAATCTATATCTGTTCAACATTTATAGAATCATAAATAAAAAGACACATTACAAAACTAATTGCTAATAAATTGTTCAAAAATACTACAAATAGAAAGAGGAAGGAATTTTATATTTTCAAAAATATAAAATTTATATGAATGCATCAGTATAATTATACAACAATAAATAGATCAAAAGTTATAAAGTTTAATATTAAGTTATCCCTAATTATTATCAAAATATTATAATGTTCAGAATTTATTGCTCGCGATATAAATTTAAAAAATAATCAATGCTTCAATGTCTACGCCACTATAAAAATAAATTACATTAATGCACAATTAATTATTTTTCTTTAAAATTAATTTTCTCAATTAATTGCCTTTATAAAACTTTATTTTTGTGATATGTGGGCATTTTTTCAATTATTTTTTTTTAATATATTTTACGAGAGATAAACTATAATATTTCAGTACCAATTAATTTAGAAAATAATTTAATATCAAATTGAACACTTTTTATTTATAATCCTTTTGTTATTATAAGTAATATTCCATATTGATATACCTAAAAAAATTTAGAATTTTTGAAATTTTCTTGCATTATTTTTAAGCAATTAATTAATAATTAATTCTGATATATTCATTTTTCTTCACAATTTCATTAGATAAGTATTTTTCGAAAGTAAAAAATTAGCGTGATGTTACCTCCAATTTCCAACTTTAATATCAATTTCCTGCTAATTAATAGGAGTAAGAAATATGTGTCACAAATGACAAATTTACAATTTAATTTATGTCATACATTTGAACTTGATTCCCCGTAGTGGGAATACTAGCTTAATGAAGATTCTTATGTAAACTCACATGCACGCTTTTCGTGTACATATATCTAACTGTCCATAAGAGAGATTTATATTGCATCCAAGAAAGCGTAATATATATATTGCGCGATACAAGTGACATTGTCACTTCATTGATCTTTCAATGGTCGAACAATATTGAGCAACCGTTCTTAGAATATTGTGAAAGTAATTTTTATATTCACGAAGCAAATTCAATTATAATTTTCTTTATGTAAATTTATTTTTATAAAATGCAAATCAGAAATTAAAAGATAATATGTAAACTACTCTGATATGTAAAGTATTTCGAATGCTATAAAAGATAAATGCATTTATTGAACAGAACGATATTTTTCTCATTGATATAATCTTTCATCTACGGCAACTCGAAGACTATAATTTTTCAAGTTTTAAACTCTTAAATTGAATATCTTATCGGCAACTATACTTAAAGTGAAAATTCTATTAAAAAGATTTTAAAAAATAATTGAAAAATAACAGTCTTGTTATCTGTTTGCATTCATGAGAAGTACCACATTTCCGCTTAAATAAAATTTATTTAAATTATTCGACAAGTAATATAGTATGTACATTAAACGCCATCTATCGTCGCGATCATTTTGTTTCACAGAAAATATCATAAAAATTGAATAACTTATAAATCTATAATTCCATAGAAAAATAGGAATTAAAATAGTAACTGTATATGATATACTGTATATGATATACGATAACTGTATATGATATACTGTATATGATATACGATAACTGTATATGATATACGATGAAATAAATCTCGATGTAAATCATTCTCATAACTTTCTTCAGATCACATGTTCTACACAAAAGCGATAAACAAGTTCACGCGAACACTCACCTTGAAGACGGCTCTTCATCATCATATCTTAGCATAGTAAGACTTTCATTTAGCGCGTTCGCTCGTGACTCTCGGAAGAAATTCGCCCTTCGCACGCTTCTTCTTTGCACACCCACAAAATAAAGTCTCAGTCCAGTTAGTGTCTCAAACAATCCATAACTTTCTCTGACCATCACCGCCCTCGTCTACGTCATTCCACCGGCATCGTGTCATGATGGAATTTCCAACAGAAACTTTTCGCTCGCGATTGAATGACTGTCGCACTGACTTCGTTTCACTCTTTTTTCCTCGATATTTACATATATATCGATACTTTGCACGTCGCTTCCGGCATGTACTCAGTGCAACCGATTAAATTAAAAAACCCTGCAGGGTTAGGATCACGCAAAGATCTTCGATTAGATGATCAATGACGAGAAGAATAAATTCGATCGAACTTGAGGAGTCGCCTTTTCACCTCGCGAAAGCACGATTTCTCTTTTTCGACTTTGTTCTTCGCGAGGAAAGCATCGGCAGTTATTTTATATCGTTGTAAAAAATTCACCAGACGCCCCGTTCAAAAAAGCTCGCGACCTTGCGCGCCGCGATCGTTCGATTAGAAAAGCGGCGCAAGCTTTGAGCGCCAGTCAATCGAAAGATACGATCGGATCTCTCTAGCGTCCCAAATATATATCTGGCAGCGATGTAATAATTTCGTTCTTTGACATTTGCAACGTTTCGATAGAATTCACCGAATGCTCCGTAAATTCCCGGGCTCCTGCGGTCGGCGAGATTGGAAATATCGGAAATTACTCGACTGAAATCGACAGTGTCCTCACGAGTGGAAAAGGCTCTCGAAACTATCGTTCGTCACTGTTCCTCGCATCCGGTCACGTACGTTAATGTTGATCGCGTGTCGCGACGGCTCGTGCCTAGAGGGAGACGGAGAAGTTCGCTCTTCGAGATTTGCCGGGCGCGCGATAGACCAGACCGTGCAGAGGCGCGCGTCGTGCTCGACTGACGAGGCGATTGAAGCGAGCGAGCGTCACGACGTCGAGCTCTACGAAAAGCCGACGATGCGCGATGCCGACGAGGCGTACATTTTCGCAACAAGAACAGTTATTAAAAAATCGATTAATTTTTCAGAAAACTAATTGCAATTTGAAAAATTAAAACAATCGATTATGTCTTGAAATGTATCGTGTAAAAAATAATTATTCAAATAAAATATAAGAGTAAGATAAAATCCTAATTTGCATATAAGATGTAATACCTACGATAAATTTAGAAATAATAAATTTAAAACATTTTTTCCTTACACTTTTCTCATCTTTACAATAGTGTATCGTGTTTTAATTATATTATAAAGTAATGTCTTTATTGTCAGAATCCGCAATTTTTATAAAATATAATCCAAATAAACAACAAAAAGAAACATAACTTTTATAAAAAAGAAATTTAAAAAAAATTAAAAGCAAAAAGTTATATGTTTTTAACTATGTCGATTAAATATAATTTATTTTCCCATTGTAAAATAACAAATATATCGTTTTAGCAATTGATAAAATATTCGTTATGATAAAATATTCAAAGCGCCAAGTAGAAGCAAGATTCTTAGTACACAAAAGCGTCGTGAAAATCGAAGCTAGGTCACTGAAAGTAACAAAGTGTTGAAATACCATTCTTAATATACTAATGACACAAATGACATTTTAGAAATACCAATCCGCGACATTTTCCCCAACAATGCCCCAAAGTATGTCAATATTAAAATTGCATGTATCCATATTAAATCTATATTTTCTAATCTCTCAGGTATCATAAAACAGCAATATAATATTTAAAAAATTATACAAACTTGATATTCTACTTTTAATTAACTAAATTTTCAATTTAAAAAATAATAATATTTTGTTTATTTCTATGTAATTATTTCTATGTAATTATTTTTAATAATTTTTATAATAATTTTATTTATAATCGAAGTCATAATGCATACTAATCATAAGTTTATGCAATAAATAATTCAATAAATAGTAAAAAAATATTTCTATCCGTTATACAAACAAAAAAAAGCACACAAAGGTCAATTTCACAGATGATAAAAAATTTTTTAAAAAATCTTCCATTGAAAGAAAACTGATTAATTTAAACAATATTTTTTCTGATGCATGTTGATAGCATATTAATTTAACTAATTGAGCAGTAGATATTTCATATCGCGACAGTCTGTATTACACGTGGTTTCTACGCGTCAAGTCAATAATTAATTTTTTCCGGAAATGTCCGAAAGTATGATTGTTCAACGAGTTAGTATACAATATTAATGAATAATTCGGTAGAGAAAAAATAATGGGAATTCATCGCGTGACAAAAGATGACAATCTCAATGACACGTGTTATCGTCAACCCCTACAAGTTTTTCAGACACGCGTTTCAGCTTTTATGTCAAGACAAGCACTTCAAATCTAGCAGCAATGATACATCATCGCTAAGACACTTTCATTTATCTGACAAAGAACGATGCTGATTCAATTAAGCCTTGTCGTCAGAGAATGAATTAAGATTCGCAATCTTGTATTCTCTCTAAAAATGTGATTTATAGATGCGTTTCAAAAATAAATGAAAATAAGCACGCAATCCTCATATTCATGATGATATCTGATGATGAGACAATTTTGCCCCATTTTAAACACATTATATAATATAATTTTTATTAATAATACGTGTGATTCAACGGCTTGCAAAAATTTTATTTAATAAAATATATCATTAATTGTAAGAAAATGTAACATATACATATAGTACCTATATAAGATATTATATTCCATAAGATTTCCATAAGATTTAATGTCCCATCATAGATATAAATAAATGCTATCATCTCATGCACATAACAGCAAGTCAGTCAATGAAATATTTTATACAAAAGTATAAAATCGCTCAACTAAGTTTATGATTACATATATTCAAACTGACGATTATTACAAGGCATATTGTAAAACATATGTATTGATTTCTCTATGTGATAATTTCCACATTTCCACATTTCCAGATTTAAAATTACTTCTCAGATTGTCATAGTAATACATAATCGGATTATTACTCACAGTAATATAATCAATGTAAGTAATATCATTAAAAATAGTTAATATTCTTTAATATTCCTTTGTTAAAATTATTTAAGCGTATTAATACTCAACTGAAAATTTTATTAATATCTAATTAAATAAATTACACTTTATTAGTATTACTTACTAGAATTGTATCTATGTAAAATATCAAAAATCACGTGTTTTAATTATCCATGAGTCAATTAGAATGAAAAAATTTGCATCTGATAAATTAATAATATATAATCGGTTTATGTCGCGAATAAAATAATGATAAACGTTACAATCGAACACTGTCGAACAATTAATGAAAGTGATAATTTGTCGTAGAACTATAGCAGACAGATATTTATTGTACAAACGTAATAAAGACGTGTCTAGCCTACGCATTCAACGCGATTTTGCAAAGTGACATCAACTTCACCCTAATATCCCAAGATAACATCATAGAATTCTTACTGTGCTTATGATAAAGGAATAACGACTGCCATGATTCATCGAATTCCGACAATCAAACGCTTCATTTTCATAGTTAATAGTATTGATGGCGAGAAAAAGCGATAATCTGTCCATGTCTAATTGCGCGTCTAATAATTTATAAGTCGGATCGATCATTTATCACAACACGCGAAGTCAATATACGTTTATAACAGAAGCTACCGATATGTTACAGAAATGCGGACAAATCGATAGCAATTTAATGCATAATTACAAACTATTTATCCGTATGTGTGTGTGTGTGTTTCTGAGATCGATTTTAATTATTATATATTATTAATTTTAATTATATATTATTAATCTTGTATTAATTTTAATTATTACTTATAATTGATTGATATTAATTATTGATTAATATTAATATATTTCGCGATTACAATCATTATTTTCAAAATCAATCAGTTTTTATAATAATCTATTTTAAATATGAAACAATTATATTGCATGTTTTATGAGCATGATTTTAATTTTAATTTTGATATTAGTTAATCAAATTAATTTGTACAAGTCTACGTATATCTTACATGTTTATCTTACTTTATAAGTCAGCACACAATTTGCATAGAGCTCATTTTACGCAATAAAAATATTTTATAAGTGTTCAAATATTACAATAGTCGTCAAGCATATGATCAGGAAGTTTCAGATTGCCATCCGTGACTGTATCCAATAAAGATTATAATGCCGGAATATATCAGCTTCTAGAAAACGGCGACTTTTCAAAGTAACCGGAACAACCCTTATGTGATGACCGAAAGGGTAGGGCCGGAGATAGAAAGGGTGCGGCAGCCAATGATAGATATTGTCCCATTTAGCTTAGCTGACGTTTATTCAAGCTAAATGCGACCTAACCTGCGCTTTCTTTATTACATGCGCGATAAGAAAAGATTAGCATCAAGATGATAAGGCAGTCGCAAAGTTACCAGATTTATGTAACAACTTTATTTGTTAACGGAGCAATTATATACATATATTTGTTACTTATGAGAAATAATCATGGAAATAATATATCGTTAATTTGAAGTTTAAAAATTTTTAGACAAGACTTTTTTTTTTAATATTAACAGAAAATATATTTTTGATAAGATCTATCTAAAGTGCGACTTTATAGTTTCAAGTAATCAAATTTTGAAAATCAACGCGAAAAAAGTCATAAATTTGGATGTAAAGCCATAATGTCTGTTTAGCACTGATACATCTAAAGATCACACAATCTGATTTATATTAAAGTTTACTACATGTAAATTGATTTACTTCAGCTATACATGTAAATTGGTTTACTTCAGCTATACATTACCATTTGCAATTTTCTCCATGTATAAAGTTACTACGTTGTTTCGAAAGTATTATCAATAAAAATGAAATGGAAAATCCTCTTTGTGATACGCGTAAAATATGTTTATTTCATTATTTCAAGATCTTGTTTGCAGATAATGTCAAACTTCTTTAAAAGTACATCATGTATATGACCAAATTGAATGACATTTTAAGAACGACTTGCTATTATTAGAATTTGAATGTTATTAGGAACAGTATCCGATAAATGTGCAGCTATTAATTTGACCACGTATACAGAATAAAAATATTTCACTATAAAAATGTAATAATTTAATGTTTAGTGCGATAAAATTTTACCAATTGTTTGTAAAAAATAATATTGTAATGCAATCAAATATTGCATAATATAATAGAAAACTTTTTTAGAAAAATAATATTGTAATGCAAAAACGCGCATATTATAAATTAATATTTTAATAAGGGATCTCACATACATTTTTAAGAAGAAATACAAAATGCAGCAAAGTACTGCAAATATTGCTTCATGTGAAGTTATATTAAAGCTTGAGTAGAACCGTTTATCGTATTATTATACTATTTGCTCTATAGCAATTACATCACACATTTACGCGTAAATTTCTAAATATGTTTTTTATTCATGAAAGTTAAATAAGACACTTAAAAAAGGCACTTTCACAGTTATAAATTTTATTACATTTAAATTTAGCTAACCTTAAGTTCAGATACATGATATAGCGACCATTCAATCTCAATACTTGAAATGACGATGCACATTTTCTTTTCCAATGTAAGATGTTCGTGATATTTACGAGAGGATTTAGTGAAGAGAGAAGTATACCATCTAGCTTGATAAGATAAATCGTACATCGATAGTATGATAAAAGTTCCATGCACAACATTACCAGAATAAAAAATTATATCACATTAAATGATTTTGCGATTTTTTATGAAGTAGAAACTATACACGATAAGCAATCTTTCTAACGAGTTGTAAAAGCAGAAAAGATAAAACAAAAAAAAACAGAATAAAAATGAAATAGAGCAATGTCCTAGAATGTTTACAAGTTCATATCTCTTTAGAAGTTAGTTATGAA